GACATAAAAACTAATCAAAATCTTAGTTTTAAGCACACAATAGAATAAAGAAATTTAATATGTAAAAGCCCTTACCTAATTTTGTCTTTAATCACATACATATATTTTTTCTCAGTGCAGCTAAAGTCACCATTGAGAGGCGAGTGTGTGTGAGTGCTTTGTTGTTGTGCGATTGTGAGTGTGGGTGGATGACGCACATAATGAGTCTGCGTGGCAAGTACAAAAGTTTATAAATATGATGGAATAATTAAAACTTGGCGCCAATTTGAAGGCGCTACCCCAAGTCGAAGGTGGCCAAAAGGCTGTCAGCAACAAAGACATGAAAGTGGGGAATGTCCCCCCGCCCCCCTTCCCCCTACAGCTCACCTCCCTGGCCACGCCCCTTTTTGGGCTTTGTTGTTGCCTTTGGCACCGCTTGCCCTTTGGGACTTTTGCCGTTTCCTTTGAGCCTGGCCGCAATTTTTTTCGTGTTCTTCGGCAAGGATGTGAGAATTTGTATGCTTTATGTTTTGCAGATGCTTAGAAAAGTTTTTGTTTTCCAGTTTTGTTTTTCTTTGCCGTGCTTTAACTTTGTTTAGCTACCTTTTCCGCCTTTTTCCCCGCCTGCCACTGTTAATTATGCAACATTAATTAAGACTCGATGTGGATATGGCCTTAAAGCGGGCCACAGCGACATGGCTTTAATAGAAAGCAGTCCATTCAAACGGTTGAGCCATAATTATGTGCACACTTATCACAGGTGGAGTCGCAGTCCCATTCCCAGTCCAAGTCCAAGTCTCCAAGCAGGCCACTCAGCCGGGTTTATTTGCAGACTCCGCCGGAGTGACAAGACACGGAATCCGGAAATGCGCCCCGCTTGACGTTCGGTTCAATGAACCCCAATGACGGCAAGTGGCAGTGGCAAATGCGAAAGGGATTCCTACTACTGCAATATCCTTTAAGTTCCGGGGGGCAATAAAAACGTGGAGCCAAGAGTTACGGCTTTTCGGGCAACGTGGAACACATTTCGCACTCGTCGGACGCCGTAACACATGTTCATGTTCAGTTCAGCTCAGCTCAGCTCGTTTAATGGGCACCAAGGTGAGCCGAGCTCTTCAATTTGTTTGAATTTGTTTTCGTTTGCGGCCGGGGCCGAAAAGGGGGGCAAAACTTTACAGAAACAAGTAATCCTGGCAAAAAAAAAGAAAATAAAAAAAAATGTAACACGGAGTAAGCTGCCAAGAACTTGTCCTGTCTTGTGTGTAGGTGTTTTGAATCTATGCTGTAAATCCTTTTTCTTGGAAATTGTTGCTGCTGTTTGCTGGACCCGAATGTATACAACATATTTGTGCTGTGTGACACGGCCAGGCGTGCCATGATGAATGAGGGAGGCCCGCCTCCGGAATTCTCCCATTTGGCCCTTTTGAGAAATGCAACCCTCTGTTAGACATGTCAATTTCCAGCCTGATGCATCGCACATGGCAACGGGGAGGGGGTTCGGGTTGAAAAAGAATTGCGTTGCTGAAAAGCCAAAGATTTTCATCCAATTTGCAAAAGTGGAATACGCATACGCCCCGTGGTCCGCAAAGTTCGATGAGACACGTGAGCGTACACTCAAAATCGATATTCAAAATGTTATTATGCCAAAATACCTTACATAAATAAAATTAATTTTATTTCGATTAATAAAAGTACCTTTATCAAGTTAATCAAATTGAAAATGTAATAAGTATTTCTTCTAAAACTTAAAAACCTATTATCCCAAGAAAATAACAAAGACAATTGTTTAAAATATAAAATTCTAATGAAAAACAAAACTATTTATAATATTTTGACTACCTTTAAATCCACTTTATTATATTTAAAGCTAACAAATTTATTTTAAATTGTTAACTCAAAGTAATTTGTTCTGTATTCCTATCTATATATAAGCAAAACTTGTAATTATTGATCAAATAGGTAAGCACAATTAAAAAGATGAAAACTATTTCAGTGTCAAAGGTCCTCTAACCCTTTTAAATCTCCGCTTTCTCTCAGTGCTGATTTTGTAGGGACTGGAGGACATGTGTTGGCAACGTGCCTGCCGGCAAGTCAAACATTACGACATTACGCGCTTTCCAATTCACCTGTGAAAATCATTTTCTCCGTTGCGTCGAAAAAAACAAAGAGTCGTCGTGAAGTCAGGGGCGGAATTTTCGCCGAATTTGCCTTGTCAAATGTTGAAGGAGACGTGACAAGCATTAGCTACAGCGACAACCTACGGAGGACAACTTACAACACACAACCTACAACCTGTGCCCCCCGATAATGTCGATGTGGATGTCGCTGCATGTCCTCATGCCGAAGGATTGGGTGCCAGAATTTTCCCGGGAAGAAAATATTTTCCTCCTGCGCCGCGTAGTTTGGCATATCATTTCGTCGCCAATTTGAAAATCGTTGATATGCATGCGAGGTGGTGACCTCAAGAGGTGTAAACAGAGGGCACACGTGGGTGGGCAAAAAAGGGCGGCAAATCAAATTGGTTTGGGGGATCGCCTCACGTACCTGCGCTGTATATATCTACATATGTTTTGGGGGGGCCAAGAAAAGTTTCCCCACCGCCGTGCAAAGTGCTTTCCGATGTTTTTCCACAGCCACGAGACCTCAACTCTTTTAGTTGCCCCACCTAACTGACTAACTGAGAGCCTTTAAACTCCAATATTTGCCCCGCACAGAAATAGCAATATGCAAATGGAAACTAAAATTGAAATTGAATATTCGAAATTAAATGCGTTTACACAAAGTCGAGTTTGTCGAATCAGGAATTACTGCAAATAAAACTACAATTGATTCGCATTTACATTTCATTGGGTAAATTGCACAATTGCAAATGGCACTGCAGATGGACTGGCGAAGGGGGAGGGGGGTGGGGATGTGGAGGCCAAAAGACTTGAATACTCTAAATAAATGGCATAACATTTTCCCAGTTTCCCCGTTCGATCTCGCATGAGAGCACTTTCCCCGGCACTGGCACTCCCCAGATGGAAGATGGCTTGAGAAATCACATAAAAATACAGCCAGACAGACGCACAAACTCTCTGGGCGCTTGTTGTTGCTCCCCGAACATCTTGGATTTTTATTGCCATATATTCGAACTTATGCCTCTGCCTGTACTGAAATAACAAAACGAAAAACATTTCGACTTTACTTTATGCTCACAAATTGTTTCTCAAATGAACAATTTTAAATTTTCACATTCAATAAATTGCTGCTGGGATGGCAACAAATTGCTGAGGGGAAAGCTTGTTGTTGTGCTACTTTTTTCTTTTGCAAATGAAAAAACTTTTTGTCAATTGTGTCGACTTATTATTAGCATTAGCACTTTTTGACTAGGCACTCAATACACTTGTTCAAGAAGGAAGTTGGAATTTAAGACTCGGATGCGAAAGTTAATTAAATGGCACTTTTGCAAAGGTAAATAAAATTCGTATATGCTGAAAAAGTATTTACGTATTGCATTTATTGTTCCAAATTACCATTTTGAATTATTAAATGTATTTACTGGTATTAAACTAAGTAATTCAATAACTAAATGAAAATGAAAAATTTGGATTCTTATGTTAGAAAATAACAATTATAATAATGTTTCAATGAGCTTCTTTTGGCAAATAGACCCTTAAATATAATGAGTTTGTCTTGATTGAAAGAAAAATATATAAAGTTACTAACTCAAGCTGTCTTATTTTATGGGTAAGCTCTCGAAATGTACTAAAATTTCCCCACTCAGTGAGAGTACTTTCCAAAGTGAAAGTGTAGTTGAAGAAAAATGCAAATGACTCTCGATTCCGGTGAAGCGCAAATGGCGACGAAATTGAAAATCAAGATGACTTCTTCTAGGAATAGAATAGGGAGCGAGGCGTCATGAATACTGAATCCCACGCAAATAGCAAATACAGGTGCCATTCAGGTGCGTACGCATGTGTTTGTCTCAGACATTTCGATTACTTTTTGAGTGGTTCCACTAAGGTTTCTCTTCCTTAGCCCCCAAATTGCAGCATCCGCAAACTTTTGGGGTCTCATGAAATATGTAGACCAGTAATACCTTGAAGGGGGAGGGGGGCGAGTGAAAAACTAGGAGTCGGGGGCGTGGCACACAAAAGGCGGAGCAAATTACTGAAATATGCATGCGACTCGCCATGGCCATTATCGTGGGCTTCCTTTTCCCGGCAGAAGTATCGGGTCCATCGAGGCTACGTGCCGGGAATGTCCAAGAGATTGCTCCGCCGGACACTCATTCCGGGCATGTCAATGGCAATGGCAATGGCATTGGGTCCACCTTCACATTCCCATTTGTGGTTTTTGAAACTGCACGCATTTGATTGCGTTATTGAAATTGACTGGACCGGTGGCTTCATTACTATAATGTCGGGGGCGGACGGGGCGTTTGCGAGGAATTCAATTATAAATGCTTGCGGATTCCAGGTTGCCTTGGCTTATGAATATAAATCTGCTGGCTGTGCGGCAGCTTCGACTTAATTGCCGTTGGCCTAGGCGCCGTTGGGACGGGGCGGGTTTGTAATTATTTACTTGATGATGTCGCCTTGGGCAAAATTAAAATAAACGAGGATTATGTTAGATTTTTAATTAACTCAGACGGTTAGGTGATCTGCCTTATCTTCGGGCTTCAACAGGATTGGTGCAGCAAATCTCTGTAGTCGTAGTCTTTAAATACATAAGTGTTTACCTTACAACATTTTCTTCATATATTTATTCTTAACAATTATTTATAGAGGACCGCAAAATTTGTTTTAATTTTTAGTTATATAATCCATACTGCATAATCCGTTTAATACGAAAATATTTTTGTTTTAAAACAACAATTTTAAATAGTTCGAAATTTAAATGGAGAACAACAAGCAATTTTAAATTAACGGTCATAGCGGCCGAGAGAAATCGAACCGGTTGTAGTGTAATCGATAACACCATTGCCCATAGCAGGCAGACGATCATATAACCGTTTCACTTTTGCTGTACCCCTGGTACCGAACAGCTGTTACAATCAGTTTAATTAGCAGGTGCAAATTGCGTATTTTGAAAGCCTAAATTATTAAATAATACACGACAAAATGGCCCTGAGACGCTGTCACTTGAACCCGAAGAAAACTCTCTTCCTACTGTGCGACATTCAGGAGAAATTCCGGCCCGCCATGCCGCTTTTCGACAACATGATCAAGAATGTCGACAAACTTGTAGGTTGAACTTTGATTTTGATATTAATCTCTTATCTAAAACCTCTGAGATTAACGCCTAATCGATTTCAGACCAAGGCGGGTAAAGCTCTGGATGTTCCACTGATCGTCACCGAACATTATCCGGAAAAACTGGGTAAAACCGTGGGACAATTGGATGTGAGCCATGCAAAGCTGGTCTCCGGAAAAACCCTCTTCAGCATGGTTACTCCCGAAGTCAAGGCTGTGATAAAGGATATTTTCAGTGACAAGCCGGAGGATGTGGTTTTGTATGGTCTGGAGGTGAGTTGGGATTTTTAAAAAGAGATTTTAAGACACCCACTAAAAATTTAAGATGAAATCAGTTTTCCGCAAAATGCTATACATGTTAAACAAATCAGGTATACTTTAATTACATCTCAATTTTTCTTCCCACAGTCCCACATTTGCGTAGAGCAAACCGCTATAGATCTCTTGGAGCAGAATATCAACGTGTACATAGTGGCGGACTGCTGCTCCTCCAGGTTGAACCAAGATCGAGATTTGGCTCTGGACCGTCTCCGCCAAGCGGGATGTGTGATCACCACCAGCGAAAGCGTCATTTTCGACTTGGTTCGGGACAAGAACAACCCCAAGTTCGATGTGGTCCGGAAACTGGTGAACCAGCCCTCGGTGGACATGGAACTCACGCGCAACGGGAACGGGCAGCCAGTGGGCAGTGCCAAGCTGTGAGGGTGCTCCTCTTGTCATATATAGCTGTATGTGGGGATGCCAATTGCATTTATATAACCATCATGAAGAAAAGTGTTTTTCAAGGATAAAGGATGGCGAGGGGGAAGCGGATAATGGGCATAATGGGAGCGGCACCCATTTAAGTTGTCATTTCCGTAACATATTCCAATGGTCCCGCACAATGGGCGAGTCCATATTTGAATTTGCCATTTAACAATAGCCTCGAATGGGCTCCCTTCCGCTGGGTCCCTCCACCTTTGGACCATTTCCGTCGGGGTCCTTATTATGCGGATGACAATGCGTATTTTATGTACAGGCGCCACCCTCCATTGATTATAAGGCTGAGTGTTGCGTCGTAACCTTTTATTTGTTGAACAGGGAACGGCAATGGGAAATCAGCGACGTACTGGCCGGAATATTACCCATTCGAGTGCTCAGTGAAGACGATGGACGTGCATACTAACCGTTGGATGCGAACGCACTGGCTGAGGATGCACTGGATGCCCGGGATAATGATGAACAGGACGTGGGTGCGAGTTGCGATGAAAGGGCCGATGGTCCTCCCTCTGCGAATGGGCATCGATGTAAGACAGCTCCTTGAGAATCGCCCCTGAAGTAGTCGAAGGAGTGGGCTGTCGGGCTGTCCCTCCTTCGGTTTTCGAAAAATGGCTTAGCACAAAAAGATCCAAAAACCTGCACTTGTAATGGCTTTGCAGAAAAGTGTCCCAAATCCTGCATTTCTAAGGCCATAACTTTTCTTACAGACATCCGATTTCAAAGTGGCATACCTCAAAATGATTTTGGTTTAATTCTCTAAAAATCTGCATTTTCAGTTTGTTTTGTATTTTGGGGTCGATTTTCCGTCATTTTAATGATGTTACCCCTTTCCAAATTTTCGAAAAATGGCTTTGTGGAAAAGTGTCCAAAAACTGCACTTTTAAGCCCATAACTTTTCTTACAGACATCCGATTTCAAAGTGGCATACCTCAAAATGATTGTGGTTTAATTTTCTAAAAATCTGTGTTTTCCATTTTTTTTGTATTTTGTTACCCCTTTTCAAATTTTCGAAAAATGGCTTTGCAGAAAAGTGTCCCAAATCCTGCACTTCTAAGCCCATAACTTTTCTTACAGACATCCGATTTCAAAGTGGCATACCTCAAAATGATTTTGGTTTAATTCTCTAAAAATCTGCATTTTCAGTTTGTTTTGTATTTTGGGGTCGATTTTCCGTCATTTTAATGATGTTACCCCTTTCCAAATTTTCGAAAAATGGCTTTGTGGAAAAGTGTCCAAAAACTGCACTTTTAAGCCCATAACTTTTCTTACAGATATCCGATTTTAATGTGGCATACCTCAAAATGATTGTGGTTTAATTTTCTAAAAATCTGTGTTTTCAGTTTTTGTTCTATTTTGGGGTCGATTTTCCGTCATTTTAATGATGTTACCCCTTTCCAAATTTTCGAAAAATGGCTTTGCAGAAAAGTGTCCCAAATCCTGCACTTCTAAGCCCATAACTTTTCTTACAGACATCCGATCTCAAAGTGGCATACCTCAAAATGATTGTGGTTTAATTTTCTAAAAATCTGTGTTTTCAGTTTTTGTTCTATTTTGGGGTCGATTTTCCGTCATTTTAATGATGTTACCCCTTTCCAAATTTTCGAAAAATGGCTTTGCAGAAAAGTGACCCAAATCCTGCATTTCTAAGGCCATAACTTTTCTTACAGACATCCGATTTCAAAGTGGCATACCTCAGAATGATTTTGGTTTAATTCTCTAAAAATCTGCATTTTAAGTTTGTTTTGTATTTTGGGGTCGATTTTCCGTCATTTTAATGATGTTACCCCTTTCCAAATTTTCGAAAAATGGCTTTGTGGAAAAGTGTCCAAAAACTGCACTTTTAAGCCCATAACTTTTCTTACAGATATCCGATTTTAATGTGGCATACCTCAAAATGATTGTGGTTTAATTTTCTAAAAATCTGTGTTTTCAGTTTTTGTTCTATTTTGGGGTCGATTTTCCGTCATTTTAATGATGTTACCCCTTTCCAAATTTTCGAAAAATGGCTTTGCAGAAAAGTGTCCCAAATCCTGCACTTCTAAGCCCATAACTTTTCTTACAGACATCCGATCTCAAAGTGGCATACCTCAAAATGATTGTGGTTTAATTCTCTAAATATCTGTGTTCAAAAGCCCATAACTTTTCTTACAGAAATCCGATTTCACAGTGGGATACCTCTTGATGATTCTCTAAATGCCCGTGAAGTCATAAAACATGTGGATCACAATGCCAAAAACGTTTAATTGCGACCACACACTTCAATAATCAAACGAATTATGACAAACAGCCGTTTTGTAAGTATATCTATATTTTATATTATGTAGTCAAGGTCACGCGATCACTTCTCGACATTCGGATGAAAGCCGGTTGCATCTGCTGTGTACGTCACGCGGATTTGCTTGCCATCTTCGCCGGGCAAAAAGTATTCGCCCTGTATTCCATTCACATCGCCATGGGCTTTTACCTGGATGCCATTGCTGACGCCGATCTCGTGCTGGAATGCCCCAGCTCCGTTTAGATTCTGGTGATTCTCCGACTTCAGGAGCACAGCTTGGAAGTCGTCTTCAGTGCAGCTGGCCAAAACCACCAGAAGGGCAAATATAAGGGTCTGAAGATGGGAGATTGGTCAACTAATATATCCAACGGTTAGATTTTAATCCGTTAAACTCACGTATTTCAGCATTTTGGAGCAGCTACTTGATGTGAAACAATGACCAGCGGCCTTTTATACCACTCCAAAGTTGCCTAGACCACTAAACGGGTTTCAATCGCATCTGCTAATGACTGAGATTAACCAGACAGCCATGAATATCAAATTTACGGCGGCTCAATCGCCTCTGCTACTGGCACCGCCAGGCCGCCCTCACCCAATTAATTAACTATGCTTTGGCCAAACCCATTTTGGAACTACATGAACATTTAATCAACAAATTATAATTTCACTTTCCCATTTCCGGTCCTTTATGAACGCTTTCTTGGGCAGGCTTGGTGTCCCAATCCTTGATCCTTATCTCTGGATTGCTCAAAATTTTAGCTACGCCTTTAAGAAAGTTTGGTTTATTATAAGCAGACTTGTCCATCGATTCGTTACTTTTCTTTTCCAGGATGTGGGACGGCACCAGGACCTCCAATTTGTGGGCTCCTTCATAGGAAACTGCGGCATCTTTAGCTTCATTTAAGACAACGTTTTCCACCTGATTCCGCTTGCTGTTAAACTTGTCGAGAAATTTCTTGGCTCCCAGGCGGGCAGAGGATTTCAGGGCATTCATGTCCCAGGATACACCCAGCTTGGATTTAATCTCCTCGGAGGCAGCCTTGTCGTTTGAGGAGAACAACGATTGGAACATCCTTTTCAAATCGAGTTCCTTGGGATCATCGAGGGATCGAGCTGCGCGCTGATCTATAGTTTTCACTTCGTTTTTAAGTTCCACGTCCCGTTTGGAGTCCTTGTTGAAGGCAAATAAATCTTTTATGGGCAGATCCGGGACTAAATTCCCCTGCAACTGCTGAAAATCCAGTTCGGGCGCATTCTGCAGATCCTTTGGCAGGTAGCCGCGACTTTTCAGGTAAACAAGTGGCGACTGCCAGTTGTCGACGAGGTCCTTAACGATGGTGTCAACCGAGTTCTCATACTTAACTACTTTTAAATTGCGCGCAGCAGCAGCGGTATAAAATATACAAATATATAAAATTAAAGAAATCATTTTCGTAGCTTGTATTTTTAAATTTCAATTTGAGAGCCTGCTATCGACGACTTTGTTTGATTTTTGAACTATCGATAAGATTGACTGGCAACTGTATTTGTGCAGCCCTGAAACAAAATCAGCTGTTGTGTTGTAGGCAAACGTAAATTTGGGCACAGAATTTAACAATTTTCAAGATTTTCATTAGTTTTAAAACCCTTTGCAGGTTTTTTGTTGAACAGACAGGACAGCAAAGCTACAATGGTCATTACCAACAACACAACACTGCCCGAGGAGTCGGAGCTCGACGTCCAGGAGCTGAATCTTTCGTCGGCGGCTCTGCGTGCTGGTGCCTTTCATTTGGGCAAGCAATGCGAGCAGGTCAACAATGTTAGTACATCCAGATTTTCCCAGAATACTCCCAAAAGTAATCCTCAGCCGAAACGTAGCTGCTAATGGAGCTATCTGCCGGGGAGATAGCCAAATCCTTCCACTTAAGTTATATAACCTAACCTCAAAACGCAACTTCCTCGGTTTGTTTACGTTTGTTTTCCATGTAATTTCAGGAGTTTATGCTATGCCGGCAGGAGTTGGATGATCCGCGGGCCTGTTTGGCGGAGGGCAAGGCGGTGACCAGCTGCGCCCTGGACTTTTTCCGCAAGGTGAAGAAGACCTGCCATGAGGAGTTCATGCAGTACGCCACCTGCCTTGACAAAAGCAGCGGAACCATGGCCTTTTCACAGTAAGAACCCACAATTTTAAAGATTTCAAGCACTATAAGTAAAGTTCAACCATGTTTTAGCTGCCGCAATACGCAGGGAGTGTTTGATAAGTGCATCAAGGATAACTTTGACTGGGATCGTCCTTCCTATGGCTACTTCTCGCGGGCCAAGGTGAGTTTCTTATAGCCTCCTCTTAAACCCATTATAAACCCTCCTGTTTCCAGGTTATTAAATCAGCTCGCGAAGCTCCCAAGAAGGAGGAGAAGGTCTCCTATCCCGATGCCACCCCCGGTCTGCCCGAGGATTACCCCAAGCCACCAGCCAAGTACGGCTCCCGCTTCCACTGGCTGGAATAGACAGCTGCTAGCGCCTAGTGAAATTTGAAAGCGTTCATCTTAACATAAACTCTTGTTTCCATTAGTACTCGAATGTATTTATTTCATCGTATTTTCTTTCTCGACACAGTTTGCTTGATCTTGGCCATAATGTCCAGGTACTGGTTATTCAGGCAGCAGCCGCAGTAGCTGACGGGGAAGCAGGCGCTGCCCTCGATACGGCGATGTAGCGGCATGTTCTGATAGAAAACCCACGATATATTTTCCTCTCCCAGCACCAGCATGATCTTGTCGAAGCGACATCCCTGCACTTGGAAGAGTTCCACGTCCCCGGTGATGATACGCCACTCAGCGTAGCGTATGTTGACATCTGGAGGAAGTTTGGAACGCTCCCTCATCATAACATGCTCGAACCAATCGCGAACTTGGATGATCGATCCTGTGGGAGGATGTTTTCTGATCTGGTAGCTGATGCGTGGATACAGCGGATGACTGTGGAAAGAATCCCTAATAAGTTGCCGATTCTTTTCGAACTCTATAGAGTACTTACATGTACGGCACATAGGCTAGGCGAACTATCACGAATTCGATTTTCTCCCGAGGAGCCATCTTTGAGATATATTTATTTTAGTGCGAACGTAACGCTTCACAGGCACTGCTAGGCAATACTGAAGAGCTTGGTCCACTCCGCCAATTATATATACCCGATTTGGCAGGTAGAATCATAGTTAAAAGCAGATGTTCCCTCCGTAATCCTAGGAAAAAGTCCCAGTTTACCTGGTTTGGTTTTTTCATTTATAGTTTTATTGCTATAAGGACAATTCTTAACCTAGGGAAGGGAACTTTACTCCTTGTACCACTTGGTACGCTTCGGTTTCTTAATTTTACCTCCCTCGACTCCCTTGACGCCGCCGCCTTCTTGATTTCCACTAATCATGTTCTTGTACTTATTAATTAAGGGTCGCAGATCATCCTTTTCCTTCTTGCGTCCCTGCTTAGGCCGATTATTAGCTTTGCGTTCTGCCAGATGCGATTCCCTTATCTTCTTGTTCTTCTGCTTGCGCTTCTCGGTCTTCACCTTCTTCAAGTGCTCCTTTGCCTGTTCAACAATCTTCTTTTTGGATCTCATCTTCAGCGAGGTTCCTGGCTTTGCTGCCGTGCCCACGTAGTCGCTCTGGACATCACTGGCCTGCTTCTTCTCGGTGGCTTTTCCCTCGACTTTGGCTGCTCGCGATGCCTCCAGTTTCTTGATGTGTTTCTGCAGTTTGGCTTTGTTGTCTGTCTGGGGAACCGGGGGCTTGTCCTTTTGGCCATTACGCTTCTGCTGGCGTCGGTCCTTGCGCTGCTGTTGCTTATTCTGGTATGTAGGATTGTTTTGCTTGGAGCGCTCCGTGCGCTTTTCTTTGATTTTGTGAACGGCGCGATCCTCTATACTGAAGGCCACAATGGGACGCTAAAAGATAAGTTGAAGATGTATTGGTTGCGAGAGATTCCACCACTAAATAACTTACATTCTGGGGTCCAAATATACTAGGATTGTTGTTTAGTTTCCGCAGTGCTGTCAGAGCTCTCTGATGCGTGTCGAAGGAGAGAAAACCAAAGCCCTTGGACTTGCCCTGCGGATGCTCCGGAGTAACCTTTTGTTCCCGCATAACTCGGCATTCGTGGGGCCGGAAACCTGTGTAGGTCTGAGCCATTTGTTTCAGCTTATCGTTGTCGTAGTTTTGGGGGAGATTGTGGATGGACAAACGGTTGCGGGACACAAACCTAGAATACCATTCATTTGGTTAGAAATTTACCTACTAAGATGTCTTTTAATTTTACCGATTCAAGTTCTTGAGCACCTGTGTCTTCACCTGCTCCAGTTCATGGCGCTTAGCCATATCTGAAGCGGAAACCCCATCGGCTGCCTTTGCTCCAGACATGATAAGACCTTCTCTGGCTAAGTACAGATTTCGGGAGTCCTTGGCGTCATCTTTTTTGCTGTCTTGCGTCTGCTTCGTCTTCATTTCCTCTCGACTCAGGGCAGGATGAGGATCCAGGACTTCATCCATTAGCTTAAACTCCGTGCCTGCTTGCAGGCAGAGATCTGCCGACTCCTTGGCCTTAAATTTAACAAAAGCAGTGCCTTTGGAGTGGCCAGAAACCGCCTGTCGATTGATGATGGCATAGTTGACCAAACCAAACTTGCGGCACACCTTCCGCAAATCCGCATCATCGGCATCGAAGGGAACGTTCTTAATAAAGACTGTGCAGCCTTGTTGGACATCGTTGGAGATTTGCTTCTCCTTTTTGACATTTTCGATGTTTAATTTGGATTTTAATTCATCTTTGTCTTCTTTTTGATCGTCGTCCTCGTTTTCGCCTTCAGATTCTTCGTCGTCCTCTTCATCTTCATTAGATTCCGCATCAGAATCCTCCTCGGACTCGCCCTTTTCGTCTCCAGCTTCTTCGTCACTTTCCTCCTTGACTTCCTTCTCGTCGCCGCTTTCCTCTTTAACCTCCACCTTTGGTTTCTTCTCATCCGGCTCCTCGTCCTTGGGGTTCTTGGCCACATACTCATCCTTGCCCAGGGCCCAGTCGACGAATACCTTTCGTCCCAGCAGCTCCTTTCCATTGGAATGCAGAATCGCCTTGGTGGCCTGGTTAATGGACTCGTATTGGACAAATGCGCAGCCCACCAGCTTTCCATCGCCGCGCTTAAGGATGTGAACGTCCTCCAGTGTGCCCCATTGTCCGAAGTGCTCCCGCATAGAGTCCTCCGTAGATTTGTAGCTGATGTTGCGCACGATGAGGCGCGCCCGCTTCTTTTGGCGCCGCTCTTTCTCCTCCTTCAGGCGCTGTGTATTAAATGGATTGCGGCGCTTCCGGGCCTGCTCTCCGGCCGCCGTTTCTGGCGGGGATTCCGCCTCTTCATCCTTTAGAGGTTTCATTTTTTTAAGCTCCATTTCGCACGTGGAGATTTCAATTGTTTTGGTATCGACTTAGCGGTGGCAGCACTTCGATAACTTTGCCGAATTCAGTTTACCAACACTCTGAGCTGTTATATGGCAACGCTGCCCGTTTGTTTACAAAATATTCTACAAAAATCGTTTTTAAAACATTAATTTTAACAACTTTCATATGGAAATACAAAACTAAGTCTCTTGTTTGGTCTCAAATAACTGGTGGAACTCTGAGGGCGTCTTAAAGTAGTCAACTAGCAGCATGGAGGAGCGGTCCCCAAGTTTGTACATAATATGTCTCCAGGGATTTAAAAAATTTTTGTATTCAGCTATTTGTCCTCTTTCGAAATAGTGCTTCACAGTTCCCAGAGGCAGTTGGGAGCCATAGACAGCCACATACCTAAAAAAAAGTGAAATGTAGAATACAAATTTAGATTTCATCATTCCAACGTACTTTTCCGAGCTCTTGTAAATCCTTAAGGGATATTTCGCCACGAAAGCGCGTATCGCCAGATTAATAAGAACAAATCCCGTTAGAAAGTAGTACAGATCAGATTCCTGGGACACCAGTATAGCAATGTCCATTTTTTGGACCGTATTTACGAAATTCATGGTGGTGGCCCAGTGATAGGCAGCCACCAAGCCCAGAATCGAAGTCGTTGCGGTGGACATATTCTTCGTCCAGGTCACATAGCTCTCGATGGGCGCCCGGTAGATCAGCTTATAGTTATCCGGAAGACTGTCGCCGGACAAGAGCTTCCTTTCAACTTCGCCGGAGCCCACATTCCGCCACTTGCAAAGCGAATTACTTGTGCTGAATGGAGAGGTATTATTATTAGGTCAGTTTGTAAAGATATAAACAGATAATCACTCACTGCAGACTCTGGTAATGCGATATAGCCGTAATTGGCCTTAAATTTACCAATTTAACACTTCGTAGGAGAGCCGCACACATTTTGTTTTGCTGTTACATATGTTTTTGGAAAGCAGTCCAGCCACAATATCAGCTGGCGCTGGCGTTGCCGGATAGCTGCTGTTTTTTTCCTGACCGAAACTGGGCACTGCTTACTGCAAAATGCTTTTCGAGCGGCTCACTGCTTTCTTATTTTGAAGATTGGCGGCTGTTTTCAAGGGAAAGATAGTTCATTTTCAAATGTTCTTTGTTTTATTTATTATATAACGGGGTGGTATTAGCGCCTCAGTTTTTTTTCTGCTAGAATAGTGTAGGAAAAATGCAATATAATGGTATAGTTTTTGTTAGGAATGGTTTCATATATTAACAAACATCGAAAACAATTAAACAAGCTGCTTAAAAATTAAACTTGGAACATTTTGTGGTATTCCTCAAATTAATGCAATTTTTTTAAACTTTTTTCAATCGTGAATGGAATACCCTAGCTATGAGTTGCGCGAAAACGTAGTCTGGCAATATACTCAGCTGTATGACGGCGTTGTCGGATCGTCCGGTCATAGGTGCTAGGAATTTAGATTCGGACTTCTACCTAACTTTGTTTTCGATTCCTTCGAGTTTATTCAGTAGGTAAACAACACAGCTAGTAAACGCACATCAGTGTTTTTTCCAATTTTAGATAGGAACACATTGTATAGGTCGGGTATTATTTATATTTTTGATAACATTAATGGATTCAAAACGCGCGGCCCTGGAAACCGGTGACGGTCCGGATGCGAAGCGGATGGATAACACCGAGGCTCGGGACAAGGCCAAGGAGCCATCGCCGGGCGATGGTAACCAGATAACCATGCTGGGCAAGCATGTGGCCCCGTACACGGGCAACGGATGCACTCCTCCTCTGGAGTCTTATATGTTCGAGACGACTCCCGCTGGGAGCCAACTGATGCCATGGAACTCGGCCGCCGATGGGCCAACTTCCGAGAACGATGCGGAGCTGGAAAACAGTACCAGTGATAACAAGAAACGTGAGCTGTCATTGAGTGACGTTTGTCTGAATCCCAGATCTTAATAAGCCTTTTTGTCAATGTCCACCAGCCGGAACTACCAAGATGTCCCGGCGGGAAGTGGCCAAACGCCGCCGCGAGCACACTTTGAAGGCCCTAGCCCTAGAGCGCGAGTTAACGAACAAGCCGGGTCAGTCACCCTCAGCCGTGGTGCTGCTTATTCGGTTTCCAGACCCCGATATCACTGCTCCCATGCTGGCCGGGATATCGAAAGAGATTCGTGACGTAGTCCTGCCCGTCTGCGTGGCTCCGCGCTACTGTCTAGTGCACCTGAGGGCCGGAGCCGATGTCGAGGCCACCATTCGTGATATCAACAAGGTGCGCTTCGGCACCGGGTTTTTGCAGGCCGAGCTCAAGCCCTTCTCCGATGAGGAGCAGGCCGAGTTTATTGATCCTTGCTCGTTGTACGTGAGCAACATACCCTTCAATATGACCACCTCGGCCATCAAGGCCTACTTCGCCCACGCCCTGCGGGTGGACATCGGAGTGCTGAAGCGAGAGAAGCGCGCTCGTTATGCCTTCGTTCGATACGCGTCGCCTGACCAGACAATGGAGGCGTTCAAGGAGCTGGTTGACTCTCCACTTAATAGCCGGACTCTTATGGTCCGGTACCGGAGGCTTCGGAAGCGCGCAGGCATGCCCACAGTGAATTGTAACAGCTGCCATCAGAGGATGCCCTCGCCAAGCGCCGACGATGACAACGCCGACTGCAAGGTAATAACACCACCGCCCGTGGAGTCGATCATCATCAGCGACAGCGACAACTGCTCTGACTCCAGTGGCGACGGCAAGGGCAAGAGCAAGCCGAAGGACAAGATGAGCGAACAAGAGAGGGAGATACAAAAGCTCAAGCGTCAGATGGCCGAATACGGTGCTATCATAAAGAACTTGCAAGTCAAACAGATCACCTTAGGAGGTATGTTGGAGATGAAAGATTTTAAGCCATCAAATGAGATTTACTTTTCTCTTCCATTTACAGATTTATTTATATCTGATCTTACGCCGAAAACAGAGCCGTGCGCGAATCCATCAGCTTGTATACTAGGATCCAATGCGATCCACCTAATGCGCGACATCAAAACGGAGTGTGCCTATTTGGGGATTCCCGATAATGGCACTGCCGATCAAGAACTGGCTGAAAAGCTAACCCCGCAGCCTCTAGACGATAGACGGAAGAAAGTCAAAAGTATATTATCTGTCGAATAGTGTCCTTTGCCTCACGTCCTTCCGTATCTTACTCAGCAACCTGTTTTGGCTGGATGTTTTCAGGTCCCTTCAGACGACGCAAGAGTGCCAAGCAGACTGCTGACAAGTATGAGGATTCGAGGGCATCACCAGACAAGGATGACAGACTCGAGGAGCTCTACGCTCAACTGGAGTGCGATCCTTAAGTTGTCATGCTTACGTCTACCAAATTACTCGTCGTAGGCGACTCTATCAATAATAATTTTGTTTATTTTTTATTGGACTTCTGTTTGTTTATTTGTTATCTTTTCTGTTTTGTTCAGTTTCTCTCATTTCAGCGTACATTTATGGTATACAAAATAAAATTACACATAATAATACGTAAGATAAATAATATTTCGGTTTTAAATATTAAACCCGAACAAATATCGCTTAAGGGACTGTCTTAAATATCACTTATATAATAATCATATGTACTCGATGATGATTTTTATATTAGTTTATATATGGTCAAGTCAAGTCACGTATTGTTTCATAAACTTAAAACTTAAAACATTTACAGTTGCCAAATTGTTGCACAGCTGTAGGAACTCTCGGAAGTTCATGTCCCATGTGCACACATTAACAATTAATTCTAAACTAAAGTACGTTCAATGCTCAGTATAAATTTTTGTTTGGTTCTCTCCAATTCTTTGCATATGGCTCGTTAAATTTAATATCGCAATTTGTCATTACCAAAACAGTTGGCTACATAAAGAACTTCTGCTATGATATGACTTCTGATCGGTTTTCGTCGTTAGAATGCGGAATGTTATAAACTATTTCATTATATTTAAGGCTGATTTTATTTACACAACAACAAAAGTATTTGATAAGGCACCTGTTTCACATGCTGATCGCTCAATTTACAATTGATATTCTGTTCGATTTCAATTTGTTTTTTTTTATTTCGTAATTTTTTTATTTGGATTTCCTCTCATCGTATTCGATATGATGTTACGCATTTGAATTTTAAGCACTTTTGGTGTCCAACGTGCGGCAAAATTTTAGAAACTTTACTCGAGTTGCAAGCTTTGTTCCTATGGTTCAAAAAATGCACTGCCTATAGGTCGCTGGTATCGGTGGCTCTTTTAGCTAACGATGAGTTTGGAGACGAGGCACATCAGGATGGTGGTGATCACAGTGCTTACGGCGGAGTTGCTCGTCATTTTCGTTTGCGACATGGCTCCATTTCCGGTTCGCTCAGCCACTTCCGGTGCGATGGGTTCGTCGTTGGACTGGTGATCGCCCACGGCTATGGAAAATTGGGGTTCCAAAATATAATGTTAGTTACGTTATACGTTAAGCTATTCAAGTTAGGAATGTTTTGTGCAGAAATGTCTTAGATCTAAGCTATAAAGTTATAGAACTGTATTAAGTTTTTTTGTCGGACGTGATTGTTGGGGTATTTTAAAAGCAATTAAATAGAAAAATGAATATAACTTAAGTAACTTAAGGGGGGGGGATCAAATAATAATAATTGATGTAACATACTCTTCACTCTGTAAACTCGTTTCTTTCTATTTGGCTTGGTTTGGCGTTTCGGCAGGCGGCGCAGATCTTGGGCGTGGCATGTATTATATATGTTTCGATTTGATGGTTTACTTTATTCAGACAGAGATCACTCAAGCGGGTTCGATGGACAAGCACTAATGCTGGCAATTTACAACGGGACTGGGCTACAACACATGGATGAGCACGAGATCCTCTAGAAGAATCTGTTCGTTAGGCCCCACATCCAGCCGGGCAGAATACCCTGATTCGGCACTTGCGGTGCTGTATATATCAAGTGCGTATACAAGAGCCGCAAATTAAAAGTTTTTTTTTGTTTTAGAGAAACAAAAGTAGAGAAGAAAAAGCATAAATAAAACAATTCTTCGGGAAAGAATATATCAAAATTGCATTCGGGGAGGGCGGGATGTGCTCAAACAAATACGTATGTGGCAGTAATGCGATAGCAGTCTAAGATCTGGATGATACTACAGTGGAGCAGGAAGAATCACCATGGCGATTACGACTACAAAGGGAGAGGCGAAGGCGAAGGAAGACAGGAAAGCTCTGTTTTTGATTGCTATATGCTTAATGGGGGCGGCACATTCGCTTTGTAATTCTTCTGATGTACATATGTGGGTGGTTAAATGGAGTTTGGTGTTCGTTTTGGTTCGGCTGTTCTTGTAGTTGTTGTGTTTTTTCTGGATGTGTGCTGTGGTTAAATGTTCTTGTTTTTGTATCCACGTCTCTTAAAGCCTGCAAGAAATATACATACATACAGACAGATGACAATGACGAATACATTTCGAGTTCTGGAGTTCGGCATTTTGCTTTTGTTGAATGCAAATTTAACGATTATGGGCCAGGCACGTGCATGCGATGGTTAAGCGAGTGTCATACAAATATCCGATTGTGGGTCATAACGGGATGTGTGGACCACATATATGGCCCCATATACCCGATTATTTATAATACCCGCCGACTTTTTGCTTCCCATGCAGGTGTAATTTTTTTTGTTTGCTCTAGATTAGTACGTTTTCGGTTTGTTCATGCAATTAACGTGGGGATTTCAGGTGTGTAAGTGTAAGTTTGGGTGGAGTGGGTGGTTCGGTGGTTTGGTTGGGTGGTGAGTGGGTGGTTTTTACGTGTGGTTCAACCCAGCCATTTAGCCATTTGAAATTTTGTGCCGAGGGTGCCAAAACAAGGAAACGGTTACGCATAAACATGGTTCAAGTTTATGCGGTTTTCAGACTACAGGGTAAAGAGTTTAGTTCAGGGGAGTGGAAAATCAAATATTAATAGTACCATATCTGGATAAATACTTAGTGCTAAGGAACTACGCTTATACCATAGGGTGTTTTTTATAGGAGTGTTTTCTTTTTTTAGGGTTTTCATTTTTTGGGACTTGTGGTGTTTAACAAATAGTGTTGTTTTTCTTGGGGTGAGTTAGTTAGTAACTTATTGCAGATGGTTTATAGGTTTTGATGGGCTCTACAGTTTAGTTGGTTAGATTGTGCGCATGCTAGGATTGTGACTTATAGGCTAGGAAAATGGTTTTTGGTGGAGTTGATCTTGGACCACAGTTAGTGAGACCGACTGACCAGTAGTTTTTGTTGCTGTTGTTGTTGCTGTAGATAATTGCTTTATATTTTTTTCTTGGCTATTAAACTGTAAGCAAGATATTAAATTATTGTATAGCTTTTTTTATTAATAGCTGTTTCTTAGGCTTAAAAACTTTTTTATACATGGTATGCTAAATTGAGTTCGTTAGTTTAATAGGAAAAAAAAACCGAATACCGAAAGCATAAGATACAGATAGGATTAGATTGGTTATTGGAAGGAACACACAAATATTAGAAAGTGAAAAGTTTTGCAAAGTTAGGTTAGTATCAAGATTAGTAGCGCTAGAAAAAGAATATTATATAAATTGAGAGTAGATTTTAGTAATATGATTAGATATTTTAGATTAAGGTGTTAGTTATGTCGTATACTCGAAAGAAAAGTGTTTTCAGTTAAGTAAAACTCAACCTGAAAACACTGGAACAAAACTAAAGTAAAACACCACAAAATCAAGAGTAAAGAGAAATTAATAAATATACAAGATATATAAGTACAAAATATATATAGACTGATCAAAAGACATTGGACATACACAGTTTGGTAATTAGTTTTTTTTCAATAAGTATTATAAATGTATTTCTTCCATAGGCAACAAAGACAAACACATTCGACTTGAGTAATAGAATTTCACTACATAGACATTAACTTAATTAAACATACCATATAGATAGGATTTATTATTATTATCATTTCATGACTCGTAACTTCTTCTCGCTAAGTAACAACTCATACAAGACTTCTTTCTATGAGATCTTTTTGACTTTACAAAGTTTGGGATTCGCTTATCGTGGATCCAGTAGATCGATTCGAGCTCAAACAAAACTACCGCCGAGTCGGTCCCACTCACCTGCGTCGAAATCATCACCATTACCATCGTCGGCATGCGGGATCATGGAGTGCTGTTCGAACTCGTTGTCCGAACCCTCGACGATATTACCTGTGGACGAGGGCGTGTTCTTGCAGCCGAACCACCAGTGGGCGGTGGGTCTGGGGAAGGGGGGCGTGGCCGAGTCCACCTGGGGGAGGATTTAAAATAGTTAATTATGATTAGTTAATGTTTCTTAGGTGAGCTATTCTTACAGCGAATCGGGCATCGTGGAATCGGTAGTACTGGTTGCCCTTGAAGAAGTACGTGTACCCATTAGTGTACTTGAGCGCAGCGTCCAGGTTATTGGGCAATCCCTCCCAGTTGGAAATGGGCTTGGGATAGCTGATCTTCACAGGTGGCCTCTTGGCCGGATCGAAGCGCCAGAACTTGCTGCCCTTGAAGAAGTAGATCTTGCCATTGCCCCCCCAAACCATCGCGGCGTCCAGATGATCGGGAATGCCAGTGAATCCCTCGCTGATCTCCTTCGGATAAACGCCGTCCATCTGGCGTCCCTGGTAGCGCCAGTACTGAGTTCCCTTGAAGAAGTACGTCTTGCCGTTCTTGTACGTGAACGCCGCATCGATGTTGCTCGGCAATCCTGGCCAGCCCTTGGAGATGAGCTGCGGGTAGCCCTCCTCCACTGAGTCCGTGGTCAGCTTGTAGTACTTGTCGCCCTTGAAGGCGAAAGTCTCGCCCTGCGCCGAATTGAACATGGTGTCCACCTTGGAGTCCTTGCAAATGGAGTCGTCCAGCGGCACCTTGGGCGGGGTGAATGGTCGCTGGGTGGAGGGCGGGTAGATGTTGGTGGGTCTCAGCTGGTTGGTCTTCCTGCCATACAGCGACTGGATGGCCGACTTGTCGTCCTCGTCCAGCTTGAAGACGGGTTCGAAGCCGCGGTAGAAGGGCGCCATCAGAGCCGAGCTCTGATCGGAGTGGGAGAGTCCCAGGGAGTGTCCAAATTCATGGGCAGCCACCTGGAAGAGATTGGTGCCACGGGGCGAGCCAATGGTCCAGAGTTCCGCATCGTCGAAGTGGGCATCTCCTCCGAAAACGGGGAAGAAGGCGTGAGCCAGGGTGCCACCTTGACCATCGAAGGCATCGCCGTCACCATGCTCGCTCTCCACAAACCTGGTCAAAAGGAGTGGTTAGTATTCTTGGTCAAAGGCTTCTTAGAGATATGCACTTTGTACTATCCACAAAACTAACTACTCACTTAATCTCAATATGCACGGGACCGGAGGTCTTCCTGGTGAAGGTCAGATCGGTGTCCTCGGACCACACGGCGAATGCGCGACCGATCTCCGCATCCACATCCACGCGCTTCAGCCGCTTGGGGTACTTGGAGATCTTGTAGGTGAGGTTCTTCACGCGCCAGCGACTTCCCTGCAAAGCGTACCGCTTGGACCGACTGTCGCCGGTGCCCACACGATCCCTCACTCCGCAACGTGGCAGGGACATCAGCTTCATGGTCTCCGAGTCCAGTTCACCGGTGACATTCAAGCCAGCGAAGTTTTGGAACTCCTCGATGGCGCTGACCCATGTCTGCTGGTCGTGCAGTCCACTGCTCGCCGGATTGCGCGCCGAGGCGGGTAGATAGCCAAACTGGGACAGATAGATCTGGGGGTAAGGAAAGGAGAGCGGGAAATCGGGGTTGAATGACTGCAGGGACAACAACGGGCGAAGATCAATGGGGCTGCGCCTGATGGCCACCCGTTGTGGCCAACTTGATTTATGGCCATCAGATTAGCCCGCAACGGCATGTCCTGGCTACTCCTCACTCTCTACTCTCTGTCGCCTGCCCATCTGACTTGCATAATTTATGACTGCCACAGTGGCTTATAATTTATATAAATAAACCGATGGGGAGAGGGGGCCCACACGGCGTATGCTTAATATGTATATGCAATGTATATATGGCGTTGGCCATACGTGACTGGCTGAGGTGTGAAAACTCTTAATCGATCTCTGTCCGTTGGCATCGCCAACATTAAGGAAGCGTTTCAATTGCTAATTGTAAATTGTAACATTGAGCAATCGAATAAAAACAGTTTGCCCATCAGGGAAGTGCACTTGTGTCGAGCGGAGAACAATGCGAGGTTATCTTAACAGTTAAGTTGTTCACCAACTAAATAGAATTTGTTGTCTGGCCAATTACAACGGCAAATTGTCTTACAGTGGGGATAGAGTTTTATGCGCTTAACGTTTTGGCAACACGAATACGATTCGATTTGGCATGTGGATCAGGTTCACCAGCCGTTTATGTGTCGCACATTCTTAATGACGCCGCCGTAGCTTCTATATATATATATATAAGTATATAGTACATGTTGTATAATGATTTGCCGAATCTTGCATAATGCCAGCTGACTGTTAATTTTATTGTGTTCTTTCCGCCTGCGAGGAAGTAAACATTTCGCTGGCTTCTTAGCCATTCAAGTCGCGTCTTCGCAGTGGCTCTGTGATCTTTTTTTTCTGGGTGGGTTGGCCAACAGCTCTTACCAACGATCAGCTGGGTCGGCCTAAAGGTAAACGAACTGTAAACAAAGCGGGGTTCAAGTGGAAAGTATCTGTCGCTCATCTCTTGAGAGATCCACTCGACATTCAGAATCAGATACAGAACATTTTGACTGACAGTAAGTCCGGTTGAATCATCGGCGGCGACCTTAGGAATGCCTCTTTATGCAATTAACATAATTACTCGCAGTGCACAATGTCGAATGGAGACCGCCTCCCCCGCCGGCGGCACGAACGTCTTGATTACCCAGAAATCACTGAAAAGGTGTTATGCCAGTTTCTTGGGATTGTAATGCAGCTTTTGTCATAGAACAAACAGACTGACGGCAATCGAATGCATTGTTCGGAGCCTCAAACATGAGCTCTTTCGGTTATCTTGTATCGATAAGATAACTCCCATTGGCAGCAAACAAAAGACCACTCAACCTGTCCGTAATTGAGTCATTTCTGACGCATTTCTTCCATTCAGAATTGAATGCGTCACAAGGCAAACGGAAGTCGGTGCCAAAACGGAAATGTTTATCCACTAATTTAACGTTTTTCATATAGTTTTTTTCGGGAGTCATCGGTCTACGATTGACAATACACCTGTTCCATTGCCACGATTTCAACGGTTAGCCAAATGCATCCGCATCGTTATACGTGCATTTGCATGTGCTTACCGATAATTCTCGGCGGGATTGGGACGATTAGATGCTCCGTGGCCATGCAAATCATTTCAAATTACACGGGCTCCAAGGGGTGAGGGCCACTGCAGTTGGGTCACGTTTCAGAGGGCGTTGAAATTGCACTTCAATTTATTATTGGACATTGACACAAATTTTTTTTGCCCGGCTCTGTTTGGCGGACAATCAAAACAGAAATGTCAACAAAGAATGGCTTTCGCCACGCCCCAGCACTCTAGATACTACACCCTATGTTACTAACTACAGGTGCACCGGAAAAAATTAGAACTTTAAAACAATAGGAAGATAGAACGTGCCTAGGTCTATAACAAAACTTTGCATTTCAATAGTTATATATAGATATATATTTATCTTTTTTATAGTTAAACAGAAAAGACTTTGTTTGTGATATAAAGGAAATTCGTTTTAAAGTAAACTTGACTTTGTTTCAACAGATAAGGATAAGTAAATGAATAATCAATAGATATATCCAAAGTAAAAACATGTCATTGATATTTTAGATCAAAATTTTTATGATTGAAAAATCGATTTAAATAAAGGTATGAGCTATTAAAATTAAGCCATGGATTTCCAGAGAATAATTATAAATATTTTGCGTTTGTGTAGTACGAAAGTAACTAGTAGTTTGTAAGGGGAAATATATATTCAGATGGTTGACCTGCTTGCCTGGTTTACTTAGCCGAAGGAGTTGAACTTGCGGGAAATGGCCCACGGGGGTTTGCCACCCAATGCCAAACTGTGGAGCTCGACTTGGCTGGGGAATGCACCTGTGTTTGTGAGCCCGGGAAAGTATGCTACAATTGCAATGCAACCTTCAAATATTTAACACAATTTGCACAGGTGCAAAGTTGCAAAGTTGCCGACTTGATTTGATTTCGCAAAGGGGAAATGGCTTTGCAGGTAAGCGAATAGGGAACTGCTCCTCGGAGTCAATGAACTTTCACCCATTTAAATTGAAGGCGTACTCGGACTCGTTTATTTCCGGCCGAAACAAGAACAGGACATGCATAAATTATAAACAAGTATCGTTTTGTGTATACTTTTTGTGTACACTCGCCGACGTGCCTGGTTGAAATTGATGAGAAAATTATTGGCCAGCGAGAGTGGGAAAACTCTTGGGTGTACCTTCTCCGTTTTTCGGGGGTGCGTGGTTAGTTTGCACTGGGAATGTGGGTCAGTCCGGGTCGTTGACTTTCGTCCGCTATAGAAGGGGACTTTGAAAGGTTCTCCCATCTGGCCGGAGTTCACCCATTTCCCTCTGCAAATTGCCTGCAAACAAACCTAGACCTAGTTGCACAAATATTTGCGTGGCACGTGCATAAACGAAAGTGTCTGTGACAATTAAAGGCAAATAGCGGAGGTTTTCCCTGCGTTTCCCTGCGATTTTCCCACCTTAACTGCGCATGCAATTTCAGTTGTCCAATCTCGCTGCCAACTAGCAAACAGGCTTAACTTGTTTAAATGCTTTTTAACTCCGGCGATTACATCATTACCCCTCACTCCTCAGCCGCAAATTGAAGCGCAGGCGCCTCATTTGGCGGCATTTCTTTTTGGGTTTCTATAACAAGCCGATTGGGCAGATTGGAAAAGAAAACTCAAAACTATAACGAAAGCCAAAACCACAGACGAAGGAAAAGTAAAACAGAAACTGGGCCATCGGCAGTCTTGAATGCGGCTTAAAGTTGTATAACGTTTTCAATTTAATTCAGGACCAGAGAGATGGATTAAATTGAAAGAATTTCGAGCTGGATTTTGCCAACTAAATTGGGTTATGGAGCGTAGTTTTGTACATAAAAGCAAGTGCACAGATAAAGGCTTTTGCGCAGCAAGAACTTTTAAATTTGAATAACGAAATGGACGTTTTAAATTCAGCTTTTGCAGACATAAAACACATCATTCAGCTCAGACAAATTCCTTGACATTTACCAGAAGGGTTTTACTAACTGGTTGGCAAGGGAAACTCCCACAAAATATTTGACATTTCCATACACCGCCCAAAGGTGTCTTTCTGCCACTTTTTTCTGTGCAACTTTTTTTTACCCTTCAAGTGGCTAATTCACATAGCGATAAATAAGCGTCAAGATACTAAGATAACCGGACAATAAAAAGCGCTATTCATGCAAAAGTCAGGCAAAAAAGGATTTTATAGCTGCTGCCATTTGCAAGCCTTTTTAGGCGGTTGTTTATGGCAAGACGCGTGAAATGCTAAGCTATGGATGACCTTAGGGAAGTCTGAAAAGGAGAAAGGATGTTGGCGCAGCAAAAACTGTCTATTCGAACTATTTGTTTGCCAAGTGGCAAGGCTGTTGCAGCCTTTTGTTTAACACCTCGCGAAGGTCGCACGCAACTATTTCATAGGCAAATCAATCAAACTTGGCGAAAAGCATACAAATTCAAACAGCTATTGATTAGTTTGCCCAGGAAAAGTCTGAATTAGCCTGACGCACGAATGGATTTTCTTAAAGTTGGCGACTTTGTTCAGGCTTTGATTAAGTTATAATTAGACCAGGAAAGTTTTACGGGTTTCTCTGGTTCTTAGGCGTGTTTTTTTGTGCTGTTCGCCCACAGTGATGACGAATGCCTGAGCTCATTTCAATTTCGTTCATTCGTACGAGTAATTAACCTCTTGACAGCTCTATTATGTGCGGGGTATAAACTTGCTCTCCAGACGAAATGACTCACCCCGTAATGGATATAGTTTTTCCTGCTCCGATCAGATCGCACCAGATCTAATCAATTAGGATTATTTATTGTTGCCATTGAGAAAGTGGAATTTGATCGGGGAAGATTTATCAAATCACGATTTCCTCCTTGCTCCAGCGGTGGTCTGCGCGATTTGCATTCCCCTGGGAGATTTATTAGAAAGCGTTTTGCGATCGGGTGGGAACAAAGAACCTGACATTGGAGAGACAAACACGTCGGCCGTCGGTTGAGTGTCGCCTTTTGGCTGCTTTTGGGGCGACTGGCCAGCGACAACGAGCCAAGTTATAGGCAACGCGCCCAACATACCAATTAGCCAAGTCACCGGATTGCCGGGGAGTTACGTAAAACATAAATAAAACCTAAAAACAATGTTAAGCACGCGCTAATGCGTGCTGGGGTATCAGAATCATAGCGAATCGATTGGCTATTGCACCTGTGAGAGGCGGGCGATCGTAAATGGTTGATCAGGAAGTTCTGGAACTGCTTATCCACTTTTTCCCCCAACTAATTTATGCAAGTCTGTGGCAAGTAAACGTGATTAGCTTCGGGTACATAGCTCCAAGTGCAAACGTGCCGATGCTGCAGCAATTGTTGAATTTGTAAATGGAAATTACATTCGGCTAAACAGCAATCATGACAAGCAATTAACCAGAGATAAATATTTATAAATTGAAAGCGTGGAAATCAAGCCGCTTGAGCAGAGGAATAATTCGATTAGTGGAAATGTATAATTTATGGGCTTTGGCTATCAATTTTTTTTATTAAGTAATTTGAAATGAATGCTGGAAGAGTTTAAGGTACATTTAACAGTAGCTTTTTTATGATATTCGCTTTTCTAAATTATTTACAATCTTAATCGATGTTTTTGCTTGGGGTAATTTTTATTTATAGGACCATCATTATCAAATATTATTTGTGAAAGATATTTAATGCAATTTCTAATACCCACAGATAACTAATGACAGTGACAGGTTAAGAACAGTTTTAATTGGGTTTTCCAACAAAACAGCGAATCTGGATCATTTCTAAAAGATAATTATAACATGTTTTGATTGCAATGCTTAATAATATTATTTTTTAAATTAACATTTTTTTTTATATTTTGTAGGACCTTAAACCAACCATTTATAAATTTTAAATGCACAGAGATAAGCACATTCAACGCCAGGTTACCGTGTATTTTAAATGTGTGTTCCAAAATCTCAAGCAAATTTAATGCCAGTGCACTTTGTGAATTAAAGAGGGGAAATTCCCAAAAAATGTCTTAGGTCGTCATTATGCTAATCAGTGGATTGATTAGAATGGACTTTCTTTTCAGCCAGCTTTACTTGATATTTTTCCATTCTGAGATCATTGGGAATTGACACTCATTTAAGGGAATGCATTTGAATCGATTTGCTGGCCAGTCAATGGCGTGAGAGTTTTCCTGGTGGAAATATACATTTTCCGCTGGCCAATGTCACGAGCGATAACGATAGCGATAATCAGACTGCAATTAGCCGGCGGGCATGCACTTTTCGAGCCATCCGACTAAGGCTAAGGCCAGAACCTCTGAGCCGGGCCAAAATCGTGTGTGTGAGTGGAATAAAATTCACGTTGACATGCGATGCGCGTGAGCCTGTTGCACAGTCACAGCCGTGAATACGAAATATTTCCACCAGATACACGTATGTACTGTGTGTCTAGTGTAAAATTAAGTATAATTTCAAAATGCAACCAGCTCGGAACTCTGAGCGCCTGGCACGCCTGTCATGCAAATCGGAAGTAAAGCCACCATATAAACTATATAGTATATATAATACATATCGGGATCGGGCGAGACAGAGCCAGACAAAGTGGCTATCTCGTGCAGTTAACTGTCACCTCAAGTGCAACAAACTGATTCTGATTCTGATTCATTTCCATTCCATTTTCTTTCCTGTTTAAGTACTGAGCCCTCAGCTCCCTTCAGTAATTTAATGTTATTATAATCCCTTTTTTTTATCAATTGCATGCTATATATTTTGTATAGTGCATGAGGAAAAATATTACGAGCTTTTATCTAAATTATAGATGAATCGTAGGATTTAATTTAGCAATTTAATGGGTACCATTAAATATTGTTTTTTTTTGGTTAATGTAATAACTTAATTATGTACTCACCTCTGCCTGTGTGGTGGTGGAAACGGGTGCCGTTTGTGCCGCTGCCAGAATGGAAAACAGGGTGCCTACGACTATGAACACTGTACTTTGGCAGTTTGTCATTTTGTTGCTGTTTCTGCAGTTGCTGTTGCTGGTTTGTATTCCCGCTGTTTGTCTAATTGTCATGTAGTTCCACTTGCTGGTAGCACTTTGAACTTTATATCACTGCAAAGGCAAAGGTGGAGAAAAAAAGGTCAATTAATATTTCATAAAGCCGGGCCAAGTAATAAAGCGGCAAACAGGAACGGGCCAGAATAGAACGAGGTGAAAGGAAAGGGAGCAGGCCAAGTACAAGTGCAAAAGGGCGAACGGAAATCGTGTCCTGCTAACTGCCAACCTTCCTCCTTTCTGCCACTCCCACTTTCCAACAGGTTGAATGTGGCACACATTCTTTGTGGCAGGTGGAACGGCAAACGGAAGTGGCCGGCGTTGCCAAGAATCGGGGGTTTTCTACTCCAAGTCGTAGTAAAAAATAGTACAACTGGAGTGGTGGCACTTGAGATGACCTAACCCGCCCGTCACCATCTGCTATAGTATACCCTTTATTATGCATGGTAATAACACGCTTTTTTATTATGAGAGCACAAATTGCACTCTCACATCTTGTGAAGCCATTAAGCCACCGGCCTAAGAATATACCCTTATCACAGTCAAATATTTGCAGAACCTGAAACCATATCACCGTAATCCCCACGTAGAGTATTTCGGATTCGTTGAGCCCCTTGGTTAACCAGCTGTCCTGTACCTGATATTTTGATCGGCCGAGATATAGAAAGTCATGTGGTCTGATGTCTGGCTAGCTCGGACGTCATAAACGGCTTTTGTGTAAGTTTAGACTCCAATTAGAATTTAATTTTAGACTGTGCGATGGTAAATACCAAGTCGGCAATAACCGTTAAGGATTATGGGGGCCTTTTGTTGATATTCTGATATTTGATTTGCTAAAAATAGCCAGAAGTTTTGCATGGTGGCTGATATGCATATATATTTTTCTTGATATGGATGGTGTTGACCTAGGGCGCGAGACAAGTGCTAGAATTGGCTAAATAAACTTTAATGTTTATGGAGATGTTTATCCCACTATATCTTGCATCATGCTGATCTGTCTCAGGTAATCGTCGCCTACTTTTTCCCCCAAAGGAATGGGTGTGACATCAGCCCAAATGACGGGCTAAAAAGTGCGATAAGTTGTATCAAGTATACGCCAAGTGGCAGTCACTTTTGCAAATATATGATATATATCTAGGAGTGGACACTGTACAGTTAAGTCTGCATTAGCCGACTCTTGTTGTTGCTGACTAATCGTTGGGGATTTCTGTGCGGCCACTTTTAACAGTCTTTTTTATGTACGGCAATTAGCCGCTAGATCCAGCCAAATGAACATGCAAATATATAATGAATAACGCACACTCCATTGCCCCGGTGTTATCTGATTACAATAATTTCTGTTAAGCAAATACCATAAATATATCCCATTTTCTTTTTTTTTTTGGGCAATTGTTTTGGCCGGGTTGAAGGTCGGCTGGCTGACAGTTTAAGGTTAGCGCCGTGTGGTTAACTCCGGTGATGGGTGATGGGTTGAAGGGGAAAGTGGAGAGGGTTCATGGGGTTGTCATAACAATGAACGCATTTCACTCGCTTGTTAAATCAATAACAGCGAGTTTTGAGTGCTTTGGCCAAAACAATCGATGGCGAAATTGCATTCAACGCGAAAGTTTGCCCTGTTTCTTGTATCATAATGGTTACGTATACGACATGTAGCACACGTCTGGGTGTGTGCTCGATGTTCTGAATTGGGTCATAAACAGGGCCTTTGCTTAATGCTGATAACGCGGATTTTTGGCCAAACCGGTTAGCCGGTTCCATTTAATCTTCTCTGAATCGAAAATTTTCGAAGAAGCAGCAGTGAGTCAAACTTTTAGATGCCAAAGCTTGTTTACAAATAAATTATAATAATAAATAAATATATATTCCAACCAGTTTCGCCAAACTTTCTGACGTCTATCGATAAATACCCCCCTAAAAATTACCCAACAACACTGCCGAATTCCACTTGCTATAGCTTTTTGGCATTGTTCACCTTATCAGTTGACTTATTCCCCAATGAATACGGCCCATAAGATAAGATATGATGGGGATCGGCTGGAAGTTATGTTGTGAAGTACCAAATAAATATTTTGGTGTATGAGTCGGACGCCCCATGTGGCCAAGTGTTACTAGAACTTGACCTTAGTGATAGCCAGCGCCAGCCATATCGTAAAGTTGGGCAAGTTGTGGCCCATGTCGAAATATTTCCAAATTGGAATCGCTATTCAAGTTCACCTCCAAAGTGGAGTGCTCATAGGGTGTGCGATTGTGGGTTAGGACTGATTAATGGGCTGATTTATCAGTTTGGTCCCGCTTCTTGACCTTTTCAATTAACTGCTGAGCTGCGTCGAGTGGGATGCAGTTTCAGATCAATGAACTATCATTGCTGCCTTTGTTGCCTGCATGTCGCTTGCAACACTTACAAATTAATTAATTAGCTCTCGGGCACATACATTTTTCTTTTTTCTCCTCTTGTTGTTTGTTGTAGCTGTCGTCGCTGCGTATTCCGCTGTGGATGTGTTGTCGTTGTTTATAATTTATAATCGCAATCCTTTTGTTTCTACTTTATTTTCGAGCTGACTGTGTGTCTTTATGTCTGGCTGCACTAATTGCCCGCTGGCACTTCCATTTTCCCGCTCGTTTCCGCGTTCAAAAACAAAACTCAAAACTGAAAACTCAAAACTGAACTGATTCACTTTTCGAATAACTTTCTGCGGATTTAAGCGGTTTGAACTTGGGTTAATATATTATCGATTTAAACTTCGTTTCTGTTTCTGTTTTTCTCGCCGCTAAACACATCCGCCCTGGACAGCGCGCAAATTTCAACTGATCTTCAGCGGTCGCTGGCAAACGACGACGACTGTTGCAGTCGGCAGAGGCGTCGACTGCGACGCCGACTGAGGCAGAGGCGGTACCGATCGTGTTTTGAGCTTTTGGGGAAAAAAAAAGGGGAAAAGCTTTTTGGGGCCTTAACAGAGGCGATGCTAACTGGAGACTCCGTTGCGGTGGGAGGGGGGCTGTCGAAACCTGTTGCCAATAATCGAAGTTGTCCCTTCCCCTCCCCCCGCATCTGTAGCCCAAGGAGAGGGGGGCGTATGAGTAATGCGGCTTCTTGGAATCATCCACATATGTGTCATACCAGCAGCCTCTGTGGCCACACAAATACACATTAAAATTCAGTGGCAATTGACAGTTTTTCTTGAAGTTTAACACATTCTCCTTTCCCCCTCGCAAACAGTTAAGCAGTTACAACTTAACAGCTCTCGTTTCTTAAAAATCGCATTCGTTTTCGACTGAATTTTGTGATCTCCCCGGCCTCTCCTTACAGATAAAGATATTTATGAATGAATCTGCGGTTTGGATTCCCCGTGCCCAAGCGATTTCTCAATGAATGAGTAATGCGTCAGCAAATAAGTTAATAAATGATAATCCCATTTTATTGGGGGCAAAGGTGTGCTAATAAGCAGTCACTTACTCAAAGGGCGTAGCACTTAGCTGCTTATAATTTATTATTTATTGTAAATAAATTAGGAAATTTTAAAAATAATGTTCTATTTAAGATTGTTTTTTTTTAAAGGCTGTTTTTTAAAAAAATAACAGATATACCAAATTATGGATGAATAAGCAACGGGATTCTTTATATATATTGGTTCTGGTTTCCTCAAATAAAAGAGTGAAAAATTAAGTTAGATTGCAAAAATTGGGGCGAAGTCACAAAAAGTTTTAATATTTTATGTGATACTACAAGAATAATGTCTTTCAGAATTATAATTATTAAACTCTTTTTTTTTAATATTTAAGAAATATTGAATGAAATATATTACAAAATTTTTTAAAACTATGTTCCCTATTTTAAAGTATTAAATCAAGTAAATTAACGTAAAGTAAGTTAATAAAGTGACGTATTTTTGCTATTTGCTTTTATAAAACATCTGGATCGCCTATTTGCATTCAATACAAACCGATTAGCACCAGCCACCGGGATTTGTGCTAATAAGCTATTCATCTCGGTGTATCTTCTTCTGAGAATCAATAAAATATTCCAGCTTATGTCTGTGCAATCCCATTAATTTCAATTGAGTGCAATTTTCGGTGAGTCAGAATCCAGAGTCGGCTGGCCACGTGAAGTAAATTGCTACCTAAATGCAAACAAATCTAGTAATCGCCTGGAACAATTGTTTACCAGCCGAAGGCAAAGGTTTCAGCTGGGCATGCAGCTAAAAAGCGCAAAGTAAATCCGACAGCCAGATAATAGGCGACATTTTGCCTTAACGACAATTCCTGATTCGCTTTATGGAACTGGCAGAACTTGGCAGAACTTGGCAGAACAAAGCGAGGGCTGAGAGACAAATCCGATGCTGTTGCTGCCACTTATCCGTGGACCAAGTGCATCTGGCCTGCTGTCAGTCCCCTCTTTACCATCCCCCATCCCCCATCCCCCCACTTGCCCATCTGGATATACGTGTGTGTATATGCATGTTTATTCTTCTGTTAAGGCAGTGGACAAGTTGACTTGTCGTCACCGCCTGCTGTGCGATGCAGTTTCTGCCCATGCCGTTGGAACAATGAAATATTTATGAGCTTCTTCTGCCTTTAATGACAACTATTTATGGTATTTTTAGACCATGCCCCCGACCCGATGAATGGCTGGCATTAAGGTTTGTTGGCTTCGCCGGCAGTGAAATGAACTTTTCCACACCGCATCAAAAATAATATACAAAAAAAAACAAGCGATTTCGCATTGACTTTTGCCTTTGAACTGTGGCACCAAGCCAAGCAGAACATATAATTGTCAAATAGATTAGGCGGATAATGCTAATTGTATATGAATATAGTATTTTTATTTGAATACAGTGCGCGACTCTGACTTTGAGTGCGAAAAACTATTTCTAAAACTCAATCACGTCACGGTCAGGCTTTGATAGTCGTTTGGCAAGCGATAAATGAAGTATCTGATGAATCTATATAATTATATGTATTCATGTATCGGAATATTACAGAGCGGCTACGTGATGATTGTTTAGGCCGGGTCTTTGTAGTCGCTCAATAGGCGCAATGTCAAATGCAAAGTCGGGACAAAAGATCACTTTCTGCCGATGATGCCGATGCCCATTGAGAAAGTGGAATTCCCTACCGGAGATGAGTCACTTGAGTATATGTACTTACCATAAGGCAGAGCAGACGAAAACTGTCTGTTCGCATTGAGCAAACAGAATTTGCATAAACTACTTTGTGAAATAATCAAGACGGTTACTCGTGTTCCTTCAACAAATATTGCACAAAGCGACTTTTGTTTTCTTAAAGTTCTTCACCGTGTTGTTTTAAACTTTATCAGTTATTATCTGCGACCGATTGCGATTAGATCTTCGAAGTTAGATAAGGCCCAGGCGAACTCATTCAGTGGCGAATCAAGGCTCTAGTCACTATCACTCTCTCACTTTGAGGGGAAATTCGCTACGATTGGGTTTTATCCATATTTATGTTCAGGTTGCCAGCATTATTCCCAACTTTCTGCTTAAAACGACTTGTTCCGAGAGGTGCGATAGCGACCGATTCACAGCAAGTTCCGATTGCGACTCGTCTGGCTTTGCTGTTTTCTGTTTTCTGTTTTCAGCTTTCTGCCTTTGTGGTGGCAGCTAAATAATGTTCGCGTCGTCGTCTTCGTACTACCCCTACTTCTTGTTTTTGTGCCCAGTCTAACAGTGTGTGTGAGTCTAATGGCCAAGACCTATGCTTGTGTTCGTTTCTAGTTTACGAGTCACGCGAATAACCATAATACACACTGTCATAGGTGGAATCCTAGTTTTGGTGGTTGAAAATTGTTAGCCGTCCCTTTGCCCTTCGTCCATTGCATGTGATTACAGAGCAACAGGATTAGCGGAGAAAGCTCTTTTTCTGGCTAGGACTAGCAGTTAGTAAGCTGTTAGCTGACTGTTAACTGTGCACAGAAAGAAACGGTGTTAAGTATTGATCGATTGGACCTTATTTATCTTTAAAATATTTATCATATTTCATTAACTTTAATTGTGCTTTCTGATATAACTAATGTAAATACAAATTGTAGTAAAGAAAAAAAAAGACACAATCGTTTTACCCAAATCGCTTTACCATTATCCTTAGCAAAGCAACAGGAGCACCTTTTGCATGATAGGACTCACCTCTAGCTAGCTGTTAGTGAGCTTTTGGCTGTCTGTTAGATCCGACAATGATTCAGTTGAGGGCGCAGCTTTCTCTAACTCTCAGTTATTTAGCACTCTCGATAGCGGAAAGCTTTTCACGCAGCGGAAGCACAAATTAATTTGTTTTAACACTTGCTAATTTGTTTAAATATACATATACTATGTGTTTATTTTTCTAGATTTGCCTTGCTGCAGCACGCTGCTCAGTAACTGCAAGTTCGTTGTGCGTTTTTTGTGCTAGACTGAGGCTTGTGGAGCTCAGCTTAGATTCTTTTATATGGTCGGGCGCAAGGCGATGCGAATCGGATATTGTTCCGATCCGAAAAGCCCGTCATTCAGTTGAGTTTGATGCCAGCGTCCTTCCCTGTCAGCACCCCCTTTTCGCGAGTGTGTGTGGGAATTCTTCCTCGTTTCGTTTGGGTAACGGTACAGTGACGCTGCGGTCCCCAGTATCTCAACCGGATGAATCATCGGGTCAAGCGATAGTTTCTGACCCATGGAGGTATTGCGTAGGCTTTTTATCTCCCATTGGACTGATTCTTCGGCTGAAAGTTCAGGCTGATTCATTTTAAATGCATGCCATCCTCTGCTGCGATACATTCTGATTCGTTTCGGTTTCCTTCGCTTTATATTGTTCTTATATTTTGATTTATACGCAATCAAACGTGCTGGAATGCCGTCCTCTCGCTCTCTTCCTCAAACGCCCACCTACCCCACAGATACCCCCATCCGGAGACTCCCCCTTCCCACCACTCCTGAATCGGGTGTAATGTCTTCTTTTGTATTGCAATTAAATATTTTGATATGGCTGTCGCACAAAACAAATAAACTAAGGATTTTAGATACAAAAGAGGAATTCAATGGCAAGCAGGAAGTGTGATTGAATGATTGTTTGATGAACCGCACTGATTGATGGGGCCACTCCTTTTTGGCTTACAAAAAGAAATCCTTGCGATTGCTTATATTATGTATAGAAATTTTTATATTTTGGTTTTATTTTTATATTTTCAATTGAAGTTTCCTTGTATATACTTTCAAATGTGTACCGAATTCCCTTTTCTGTTTAATATTTGTAGGATATTTTTCATTAAAACCACAATTTAGTATACAAAATATTCTTGGTACATAGTATGTAATAACTAAGTTTATAAATATCCATAAAGTACGTTGTTGAGATGAATTATCATTAACGCTTAGAAAATTTAAGACAAACCTTTTTAAAAACAATATTAAAATACCCTTTGAATTACTAATCGATGGTGATATTTCTATAATAAAATTGATTGTGGTCTAACCAGAATTCAAGTTATCATACGATTCGTAAGACATTTTTACGATCAATTTGTTTTTGTTTTTATAAAGCTCAGCCTGACTACGCGGGTACTTCCTTAATAAGTCCTAGACTTACCATTTTAAACAGTAGTTGTTCAGAATTCGTTGGAAAAAAACTGCCTCATCCTCGTAATTAAAGACATTTTTCCTCTTTTTTACCTTCAAGAGATAATGAAAAGTAAATAAAGTTGTCTGCCGACCTTGACTCTTCGCCCGCTTTTTGTGCCAGCCATCTTTTGTCTGGATCTTGGCCGAAACCGCTACGTGTTGTGGTCGTAGGACACACCCAGATGCATCACCCTAGTGTCCACAAAACCATACCAAGTCTGGTTTAACCCTTTCGTCAAAGGCTGCGGCTTGCCTAAGTTATGTTTCATATTTTTATTTTGTATATAGCGGCGCACGCCGGTGTTTCTTGGAATCCCCTTGAGTAATACTATTACCCGAAAATAAAATGTATCGTAAACAATGGCAGACCACAGCCAGCTAAGGCAATCACAAACGTGCAATGCAAATGAAGAAACCAAATGAAGAAAAAGAAATTTATTTTCTTAAATTTGTTTGACTCATCATAGTGGCTCATCGAGCACTGCAGCCGAAATTTCCAGATAAATAGATGGACAGACACTGGATTTCAATTAGCACAACATTGAAATCAGCCTAACTTGACATTTCAGGGGGAGGTTCTGGGGTGGAAGAGGAGGAGGGGGCATACCGATTCCGATGCTCAGAACAGATGTCCATGTCCATGTCACTACTGACCCTCTCGTGCGACCGGCACTGTCATTCACCAGTCGATAAAAATCCAATAAAAAGCTACAATTCTTAATTTGCATTCCACATAAAAGTTGGATCCAAGCTAGGGGAATCGATGTGGGAGGGTCTACCCCTTTCATTAACTACAGAAAATATGTGCATAATGTGCCACACTCCTAAAAAGTTTCCTTTTGAAAAACAAGCTTAAAGAAATGTTAAAAATACAATCATTAAAAATTAGGTCGTTTTTAAATATTTTTTGTTCAAAAATACAAATGCTTACAAATTCAATTTTGTACAAAATTTGTTTGCATTGTTATTATGCCAAAAGTACATATGGCACTCGCCAATTGTTGTATATTTTGATAAGCGAGTAATGCATTCTCAGAAAATACGTCATAAAACATAAAAAAAAGTATTTCCCATGTGAATAATATAAAAGGAAGTAAGAAACGAATCGCAGTTTGGAAATTTTGTCAGAAATAATTCAAAATATAAGACTTGTATGTTTTTTTTGGGTTCGATGGTATTTTTGGTATTTTCTTAACGATCATAAATCATTTAAAAATAATTAAGTATAAACGGAAAAATTCCAAATTCTTTGTGCAATAGTTTTATAAACTAAATGTGAATTAAAACTAAATTAAAATTTAATAATAATAGTTATCATAATTGTAAGTAAATATCTGGTGTCATCGAATCGGGTTATATTCATTATTTAAATACAAATATAAATAAAATAAAATAGTAGGTATGATGATAATAAATATACTTAATAGCGATATGGATGAGTAAGATGTGGGCACTGACTGGTACTGCCTTTGTAGGTGGCCTTACTTATATATTGCAATATGTGTGACAAATAATATTTTTTTGTAGTTTAAACTCACTTTTAAGTTTATTAATTCACGAACAAAATAGCATTTGTAAAAGAGTAGGTATTTTTTTTATGTCCTCAGTAATAAATGGCCTATTACCATAGAGGCGTCTTGCACACGCGCAGCAATCACTTTATGACTTTCAGCTATAAAATTAATAATTTTGTTTTGCTGATTTATTAGCATTGCAAACACGTTCACACGAGGGCAACGAACGCGCCTGCCCGACGAGCTTTCAGCAGAAAAGCAAAAAACAAAATGTTAAAGAGCTTGTAAAAAATGTCAAAATATTGCCGACCAAAATGCCAGTGGCCAATGGCCAATGGGCAGTTTTTGGCCCGGGGTGCTGCACAATTACCAAAACAAAGAATTGCCCGATGGCAAACATAAACACGTGAACCGTCTGGCTATTTGCATTTGTCAAATAAAAATCTGAAATGGAAATTTTACATCAAAAATTCGGACTGCACTTCTTTTGTTTTGTTATTTTCGACTTGAGTTAGATGAACTTTGTGACTGGCTTTTGAAATGCAAAGGAGCAAAATCCCGACAAGTGGAATAATCAAGTTGCAGGTGGGCCAAAAGAGTTCAAGAAACTCATGGCCCTTACCCCGTTTTCTGTTTTTTTTGATCAAACTTTAAATTCGATTTTGCTTTCTTTCGAGATGCTGGGCGGTGCCCTTCGGTCATAACTTTCGTTTTGTGTCCTGTTCCTGGTTCAATGGAATCGCAATATTTATTTTGGCTATATATTATTTAATTGCGTATACGCAGCGTTTAACTCAAGCCGAGCCAGCAGAGAAAAAAAGCGACCAACAAAAAATCGCCATCATAACGCTGACTTTCTGCTGTTGTCTCCGCACTTTGAAGTCATCGCACGTTCGGCCTGCCGCATCACGTATTAATGAGTACTTTCCTGCCCCTTCCTCGAATCGTCCACTCCCACGTCCACGTCCACGCCCACGCCCAAGATCCTTGGGGCTGGAATAATAATAATAATACTTATTGCACTCAGGTCGCCCGTGTAGACAAACAGTTATGGCATTTAATGGCAAAGGAAAACATGAATCCATGAGGACAGTCATAACTTCTGTTCGGCTTTGTTCCAGCCAGCCAAGAAAAGCAATCAAAAGGCAACAGAATCCACTTGGGACACAGAAACAGAAACACAGACTCCGACAAGAGTACTTCAGTTCAGTTAATATTCATTGCAAAGTTGAATTGTTTATTGCACTCGATGAAAACCGCTTGATTAAATGCACCTGGATTGTCACTGCCACTTCCGCCATCGAATCGCCTGCGAATCGCGATTCCCAGTAGCTCAGTAGCCAAAGAAATTGAAGCCGCAGAGCAATTTGTCCGGCCTGCGAATCCGCAGGATGCCGAACTGGAAGACGGACATGTCATCGTCCTCGGCCATGTTCATGTCCAGGGCCATCAGCTTCTCGGCGGCCAGCGGATGCCAGGAGCCGAATGTGCAGGCGGAATTCATCTGGGAATGAGGCAATTGAAAGTTGAGCCATCAACAACTGGCAAGGATGGAAATTAATAAGTTTTCAGGCCCACCTCCTTGCTGTAGTAGTGACAGCGGCCATTGAGCCGAGTGGAGGGCACATACTCCACGAAGTCCACCTGCGGACAATGCGGCAGGAGAAGGGCCAATCCTGCAAGAGGAATTCACATAGATTACTCAAGCTTAAGAAGCCCATTGATTAATTGCAAACTCTTTTAAATCAGATTAAACATAATCAGTTTTAAATAAAATTTGTAGGGCAAATAAAACATGGGAAGAGCATGCAGTTTATAATACAAATAATATCTTACATTGTATTTATAAATATAAATTGTAATCTTTTAACCACTAAAATATAAGTACTTTCTAAAATAATGATTAATGTTTGTAACCCTTAAATCATTTAATTTTTAATACTATTATTTTTATCTTCGTACAGAATGTTTGATACATTTTCAATAAAAAGTTTTTCGGAAAGAAAAGATTGATAAGTTATAAGAAATATAATGTTGTGTTGTTTTTTTTGGAATAAAAGTATAAATACTCTAACAAGTTTGGCTTAATGTGTGTAATGCTTATACTTTTTTTAACAAAAACTAACTCATAAATTAAATCCTCTATTATTCATAATTTGTATATCAAGTTCAAGCCTAAGCCTAAAGTAGATTAACTTTTTTAAACTATAAGCGTAGATATTATTTTCCATTTTAGAATTAACCTTTTTTTTGAGCCATTTAACAGTATATATATTTATATATATATTATTATTTATATATTTTCCATGCCGTGTAGCCTAATTTAATTTTCAGAGCTCACCTATGAAACCGGAACTGGGTGGATTCCGGCTGATCGCTCGATTTCCGGCAAACATTTGCAAGCTCTGCCACAGTCTCCAAACCGAATGGGGATCGATCAGGAAGGCCCGTGACTTGGGGTATCGACGCCTGTATATCTCGTAGTTGGTGAACAGATCGTAGTCCGCACTGGTGAGCCAATCCTCCAGGGTGCCATTGTACTTGCCCGGATCCCAGGCGGCGATCGTCACATTCCGGAAGATTGGGGCATGGGTGAAGTCGAACTCGGGCTTGGTCACCACCTGCGGGAAGGGGAGGGAAAAGCAGGGGGCGCGGAAAATGCAAACTGCAATCGAAAGTGCGGAACTGCGTTTCTGCCTACTTGCGAATTCACCACACGAATTGTGGTTTTGCTGCCAACATCCACCTCGTGTCCTTGCGTGGGCGCATGATTGAATCTCATCACAATGTCGTGCGTGTCTGGGGGCAGGGCGACATAAAGCCAGAGAAATAAACGGAATTAGAGTAGACGGGTAAATCAAATTGTTCATGTGCCGCTTCTTCCGACTAATTGTGAATGCAGGTGGCTCGCTGCCTCCACTGCAGTTGCACATACAAACAAATCTATAGCGAAAATTCAATTTGTAATTACATTTTGCTCTAGTACTAATTTCGTTTCATAGAGCCTTATACTCACTTTAATTTAATCCTTACAAAATAAAAATGATTAAAGAAATATTTTAAAACACAATATATTTTTAAACACAATATGATGTTTGTTTGTTGGTTTTTTAAAAAAGAAGTACAGTTCGTATGTAGAACATTACATAAAATAAAGATGCTAAAGAGCTGTGCACTTCTAAACTAAATGCTCGCAAAAATTATTTATTTTAAGTATTTGAATTGAAGTTGAATTTCCTTAGACAAACTTTCCTAACCCCAAGTTTATATAAATCAAAATATTTTTATTGGAAATAGTAAGTATAAATATTGATCAAATTAATTCTATAAATTAAAGTCTTCAAAATAAATGTAGTTCGATGGGAGAAGTTTAAGTTTGACCATAAAAATAAATTGTTTTTTTTATGTTTCAATTGCATAATTTTTATGAAACATATATTAAAATGCTATTGCAGTTTTCTCACCGATAAAGCGACCTAGCTTGGAGCCCGCCAAGGAACCTGCGCTGGAGACGATCGCACAAGTCTTGATGTCCTTGATGTTGCGAAAGAGTTTCTGGCGCGGGAAGAGCCGTCCGAAGGGCAGCTTGTTGAAGGGCGTATCCTTGCGGCGCAGGACTCGCACGCCGGCCTCCATGACCAGACAGGTGGACGGGTAGTACTGCTCCTCGAAACTGTCCCCGAACACCGGCTTGTAGTCCACGTTGTAGTGGTTCGCCTGCGACTCGTTGACCGACTCAATCATGGCCTTCTCGAAGGTCTGGACAATCCGCTGCCGGAACTGCTGGGTCTTGTTGTGGCACAGTTCCGAGTGCTTGTCATGGCAGAGATATAGCTTGGGGCTGAGGGTGAGCTTGGTGTTCTTGGACACCTTCAGCCGCGGATGTGGGGCCAATTTGGAGGAGTTGATGGCCGGATTCTCGCGGCTCTCCACAATGAATTTCTCGTTGGGATTCCAGCGCACATGGAAGACACTGCGCGGCATTCGATTGCGGGCGGTGCCATTTCCTGTGGGAAATGCATTTTCCAAATTACTTTGCGCACACGCTTTTCTGTGTCATTACTTCGGGTAATTGGGTTTTAATACGCACCGTTGTCGGGCTGCCACGAATTCACCTCGCCGGGTTCGCGTCTCGGCTGAGCTTTCGCCTCGTCGATTCGCTCACATTGAATTATTAATGCGGCGCACACGACGATAATGAGTCTGATGAGGAGGGCCTGACACTGACCCGGCAATGCGCGTGTCGCTCGCCTCATTCTCCACTCATAATACGCTATTCGAACGAGGACTCAATTAATATTTAAATCAGACCAAGATGCTGGCCTCACGGCAAACATTCAACAGCCAGCAAAAAGTCTTGTTAGAATTTATAAAGGGTTCTATATTCAAAACGAGCAACCTCACAATAGCAAACAGCACTACCAATGTGATCACTATTATTTAAAAAACATTTAAACAGTTTACCAGTCAAAAACTTCGACATACAAATTCGGCAATCTACACTTTTATTATTTATTATTATTTATACCTTTAATAATAAAGCAATTACATTGCAAAGAAAGATAAGCAATAGATAAATTAATTTTAAAATAATTATATGGTGCAAAGCCTTACTGTTATGTCACCAAACTAAACTATTATTTTAAAAATAAATAAGAATCGAAAAGTTTTATGCTTGCTCAACTACTAATTAAAATCTTAACTCACACTTTTCAAACATTAATCTTTTTAAAACAGTTTTATTAATATTAAGAGCAACCAAATACTTATTTCAAATGCAGAAAATTATTCGAAAAACCCGTCAAATTAAAAAATAATTTATTAAGTTGGCAAACTACTGTGCCCATTACGGACATTTACCGACCGATCAAACTTTTGCAAAGGAAAGTAATTGAATTTCCAATTATCGGAAAATTCCCAACTCATTTGCCGTGTCAGTGTCAATTAGCATTGACCTTTTACCACTCGCATTCAGGCCTGAGTAGAATTCCATGTTGCTGTCAGTTGGCATAAAGTTCTCATGACAAATAAATGATTTCGGACATATTCGCATTTGCAGTTTTTCATCCTGTGTTTTTTCAGGTGGCGCCAAAATAAAAGTATGCAAAAGTAACCGCAAAAGAGCTTGGGTAAATAGAAAACGTCAGTTGACCGTTGTCGCACAACTCGTTAACGCTGGGCAAATATTTAGCCACACAAACACACATTTCTACGGCGGATAAACACGTACCAAAAGTGCGTTCTCACGCAGGCCGCAGAAAGCGCGGAAAAACAGCCGGAAAAACGGAGGATTTCCCGGGTCACGCGTCCGCAATTCGAACTTTCCCTTTCGCCAGCCGAAACGTATCTGAAAACTCGGCGAATCGGCGGCACAGTGCCGTGGCCAAAAAACGGAGCCGAAGGATTCGGATGCGGAGGAGCCAGCTTCGGCTGCCTTCGTCCTTTCGTCCTTTCGCCTGCCTTCTCCCCTTTGTTGGCTCCGCTTAATTAGAGTGTTTGTTGTTGTGGCTGTTGCTGATGTTGCCGCTGTTACTACCGCTAAGCACCTGCGTTGAGCGGCGGGCTGGGAAAGTGAAAGTTATACAAGTTATATAATACAATGTCGTCGGGGGCCACCAGAACGAGCCAAGCAGCACTTTAAACGCAAGTGCGTGCGAGATTTCAGAACATGCCATTCGCCACCGTTCGCTGGCTTTTCCGACTTGATTGCTGCCACTTTAGCCGGCTTTCGGCATCGGGGAAATCAAGATTTTCACGCAGAGCTCCCCTGATATGCATAGTTATATTTTCCATAAAATGCCAATAACTATGGGGTTAATTGAATTAGTCTCGACACTTTGAGTAAAAAGGACCTTTAGTTATTTTATCCTATTCAAATCTTGTAAGCCTATTAGCTATTACTTAAAATGTTATTTTACTTTAGAAAAGCAAAATGTCTGGTCATTAAAAGTATAAAAATTTTTAAAAATTAAAACTAAGTTGTGAAATTCTTCAACTTTTGTTTATTTGTTTTTAAATTGTTTAAACTTTGTAAGACTTTATCGAATGTTTGGTCTTTAAAAATTTGGTAAAAGAGAAGATAATAGAAATTCATAAGAACCAAAATAATTACAAACTAAAAATCCAAATGAAAAACGTAACCTTTTAATAATTAATCATTATAATGAAACTAATTGGGGAATTTAATTATTTAATGCGTTGTGCATGCAATTTTCGCATTCGTTGCTCTAATCCTTTTATTCTGCCACTTCATTCGCTTTCGACATTTTTGTGTTTTCACCATTTCTCCAGAGAGCTCCTAATTACTGTGTTTTCTGGGTGTTTTTACCCGACCATAAAACCACGTTGAGCAGGGAAAAACCCGTGGGAATTGACACGTGTTTGCGGAGAGCTCGATTGACCTATGACCCGGGATTCTCCGCTCCAGTCCAGTAGGAAGTCAAAGACATTTTCTCGTATATATATATATTTGTTTTGTTTTTTTTTTGTTTGCTTTTTCGGTTTGAACAATAATTATTATTTTTGTAATCATTTATTATTCATCGTCATAATCATAATAATTTTTCTATACAAATACATTCAATAACAACAATTTATTTTTTATTATTTTCGATTTTTTCCGTTTTGGTATTACGTTTACGTCATTGTTTAATTATTTTACAATTACCATAATTATGCCAGTTGCCATTATTATTAAGTAGTATTACTATTTTCCTCCTCCGTCCACTTTTGGAAATCATTTTCATTATTTTAGATAGTTTGGCTGGGGGAATTTACTTTCATTTCGTTTTTAGATTTTAGCTTAAGGACTATGAAATTTCGTTTTTTCCGTGTTCTATTTTTGGATTTTTCATTGTTTTTTTTTTTATAATTTGTTGATTTTTCTATATTTTCTTTATCCTTACTTTTTGTATTTTTTTTTTTTAATAACAAGTACAGAAGATTTCAGTTTAGTTTTTTTAAAGTTTTTAGCTGTCTCAAGTGGGATTTTAGATTTTACGTTTCTTTATCAGTTTCCACTAAATTACTGTTATTTGGGAGGGGCTTGTCATTGTTGGTTTCGATTTTTCACTATGCAAACTTTTCATTTGGGAAATACTATGGTTAGAGTATTCAATTTTATGGAGACTTTTTGTTTTTGTTTGCTAGCTGTGTGGCTTTCCATTAAATTAGTCTATGTTTTCATTTAATTAAATTAAATTTGACTTGACGCTATGAATTTCGTTTATATTAATTGGTTTTTATTTATTCGCCTTTGTTCGGTTTTTCTGTGCATGCTTGCATGATATCAAATACAACACATTTTAACGTTTCCATTGTTTTTATATATTTTGTCACTTTTGTCCTGGCACACAATTATGTAATTTCATTTGGCCTAAAAAGAATTTTGTGTTTCCAATTTTGTTTCGGTTTTTAAAAATCTCTTTTTTTTACATATTTTAAATAGTTTTTTTTTTTTGGTTTTTGTAAAAAATAATTGCTAGCGTACGCTGCAGCGGAGTTATTCGGTTTTTGCTTGTTGTTTTTCGTTTTTTTGGTTTTTTGGTTTTGTTTGTGTGGCAGCGGCTAATCAATTACAAAAATTATTGTATAATTCGTGCTAATTGGTTATTGATTCGGATTTGGATGTGAATTTGAATCGATTTTATGTGTGTGTGTGTGTGTGTGTGGATCGCATGAGATGGTGGCGATGCGTTGTCTACTGTAAAGTACTGCCCACGCCCATGCAAAGTCGATGGATTAGATCTGGTGCTATGATTTTTGCCACGTTACATACACAATTCAACTAGTTTCGCTATGCACAAGGGAAATCGCCTCGTCCTGGAACGAACTATCCCCGCCGATGGGTGGGGGGGGGGGGTTGGGCGTTAAGATCCTTGCTCGCCGGTGCCTAAAATTTATTTCGTACATACGCTAAATGCCCGGGATCGGATTTGGGGTCGGGATCGAGTCGCATTGACCAACAAACCGGAATGCCCTCTCCACCCGCCTCCGAATCCGCGAGGCCTACTCCAGTGTCCTTCTCTATTTATTGTTTACATTTAAATAAATTAACATTTAATTTATTATTATTTAGGCATCTATTCATGTTAACTATATTATATATATCAAAAAGTTTTACAAAAGTACACAATAATTCATAACAATTTGCATTTCTATATGCGCGCAATTTGTGCCAGCGGCTGACTCTGCTCTGTTCCTTTTGCTGTTTTGTTTCTGTTTCCGTTTCCATTTCCATTTCCGTTTCCGTTCCGCCACTGAAATGTTTGACAACGGTGTCGTTCTGTCCCGCCTTTCTCCTACTTTCACGCTCCTTGTTTTGCTTAGAAAAGGTTATGCATTCGCCCCAATGTACAGTTACCCCGTTGACGAGCCGAGATAAGTGAAATAATTGGCCACGTTAACTCATACATTTTGGTATAATTATGGAAAGAGTTTCGCAAATGACCACAATCGAGGGAAACTTTGTTGAATCATAAGAGCGAGAAGTGGAATATACTATATGATAGGACTGTGCAGATGGAGTCGAGGCGAATTGCTCATACGTAATCTGTATTTACAAAGATTTATTGATATGGGGGCTAACCAGAGAGAAATGGAGGGTTCGTAATGAAGGCTGCTGCTCTTGCTCGTTATATCGTTTACGTTTCTACTACAACATCTAACAAAATCCATACCATAATCGTCCTTCTCCTATCCCGCTATCTTCTCCTAAAGTAATTTCGTCAGTTTTTTTTGTAATGCAAACTTGTTGTGTGGAAATTCATGTTGGAAACGTTCCGATTAACCAACGGAAAAGACTTCCTAATAGACTTAAATCCTGGTAACTCTGACACTGCCTGCAGTGGGTTAAACCGTTCGATAATAGACCTCAGAGAAAAAGATCGAACAAAACACTTTCCCGGAAACATGGAAGGGTATTTATTGAAGAAGTGAGATTGGATTGGTGGAGTGACAGGTGACAGGTGGAATGTGAAAGGTGAAAGGTCGAAGGTGGAAGGTGAAAGGTGAAAGGTGAAAGGTGAAAGGTGATTGGGTAAGGGAAACTAACTGAACCATTAGGAGTGCTCAAAGAAGGTGTCTTTCTATATCTGTGACAGTGTGGGCGAGTGTGCTCTATCAGAGGGTTCTCTCAAATTGTTTAGTTCTTACTTTAATAGTTAATTAGTTAATACCAAATACGACTAATTATTTCAATATTTTCTTAATTATTTACGTTTTTGTTTTTTGTTTTCTCCGTTTAGGGGTTTCTCGTTTGGTTTTTCTCATAGTTTTCATTTTTTTGCTGCAAGTTATGTACGATAAGTTGTTAAGACAATATATATTATATAAATATATATATTTCATATATATAATTAATATATATATATACGCTACATAGAGTTCACTTTATTACAAAAAGTATTATTATTCATTGTTAGTATTTATATAGTAGGTATATTGTTGTTGTTGTTGTTGTTTCTGACCACGCCTCTCTATTTTAATTAGCGGCTTACGTTGCACATTGTTGACTATATCTATCGTACATATATGTAATTACATATACGACTTATGTGGCGCATGGTTCTATATGCTGGTAATGCTTCCGTTTGTTACCCGAATCCGAATTTCCGCTGGAATCCCCTTGCAATGTCGTCGGTCGATGAATCTTAAAGATACGTTTTTACTGTGCGCTTTACATACTCTTCTCATGTTTTCTTTTTTCATTTTTTCATTTTGGCTCTTTTGTTTTTTTTTCTTGGATTATACAAATGTTTACGTTTCCTCTTATTTATTTTTAAACTAAATAAAGACATTTTTAGACACTTTTGCGGCTTCATTTGGTTTTCTTTTTCCGTTAATTGTTTTAATTGTTAATTAAATCGCGCCCACCTTGACTATAGTATTTCCCATACATATACGCATATGTATTCGTTTAAACTAATTTAAGTAAAGTTCACGTTTCGCTTTTTCTTTGAAAGGTGGTTGATACGCGGTTGTTTTTTTCTGACTGAAATTGTGTCTTAATTTCCTGCGGCTTTACTATCCATGCATTTTCATTCAATTTCCTCTAATCGCTTTTGCCGTTTTCAAATTTTTAGTCTAGTAAATTTGGATTTTTTTCTTTTCGTCTTTTCTTTCTTTTTGTTTTTTAGCTAACCTAAACTTTTTGTATTTGTGTTCGCCAGTAATTAAATTATTAACTATTTATATTTTCCGTCGCTATCCCCTTTTATATTTTAGTTGTATGCGTTTTGTTAAATGTCTTTTTTTTTTTATTTTTATACTTCCGTTATCGTTTATCTAAAAAACCTATTCTTGTGGCAGTTGCTTTTTGTTTAATTAAATATTCATATTCTTTGTTCTAGTTGTAATAAAATATGCTATTTTGGTTTTGTTTCAATAGAGATTTATAATTAATTCATGCTTGTTTTTATTTCGTTTGAAAGAGGACCATAAATATTTAAGTGGTTTCTGTTTTACGTTTCGTTTAATTCGCTTTCCATGGATTTTTGGTGTGTTGCTGTGTGTCTGTTGTTTGACCATCGCTACATCTATTATGTATCGTTTCTGAATTAGCTATTATTAGTATTTGGTATCGCTTTTTCACTAGAGAGAGAGGGAGTCGTCATTGTTGTCCGTCCACTTAATCCACATATTCCCCATATTCCACTGGCCGCATACGTTTTGCAGGCACTATAAGGCGCCGCTGCTCAAACAGCGCCACCATCTCCGCCACCAATCGTTGATGTTGTAGTTGTAGTAGTAGAAGTAGCGATAGTTCCTAGTCCTAAAGCATCCTGCCCCCCAACTCCACTGGATGCCCGCTCTCAACGACCGCGATTCCTTATAGTTAGTTAAGCGACTTGCCCCCGACTCGCCTTTGAACTTGCTCCGGCTACTAAAGAATCGCACTTTGCTGCAGGTCAGCTTGTAAGTGTGCCAGGATCTGGACCACAGCCAGGATCTGGTTGGCACCGGCACCGACACCTCCAGCTTCTCCTTCGCTGGGAGTGCTGCCGGCGTCCTTGGCCCGCTGCCCCTGCTCTTCACCAGCTCCTGCTCGTGGCAGCTGGCCTCGCAGGCGACCGAGTGTCCTGCGTGGCGACCCCTGTGCCCGCCGCACCCACTGCTCCACTGGCAGCTCCACCGCTGCCTGGCCGCTCCACAGCTGCTGAGCAGGCCGAGCAGGGCGCTCAGCCAGATCAGCAGCTGCGTGGGCGGCCTGGCCACCGCCTCCGTGCCGGAGGCGTAGTACGGGATGGTGCAGCGTGTGGTCACCGTGGGCACGACGGCACAGTCGCCGGAGAGGGACGCCTGCGGCATCTCGCCCTCCTCGTCGTAGTAGAAGACCCCATCATGGCGGGCGTAGTACGGCAGGCGTTCGAGCAGCGTTTCCACGGCATCCGGATCGCTGTTGGTCTGGCTGACGTTCCGCAGCGCCAATGCCACACTCTTGGCCCGGGCATGCTCCCCGGGATGCGAGCTCAGCGAGATGGTGATGTTGTGCACTCGGCGGGTGGAGTTGCCCGGCCCAGCTCCCTCCTGCTCCTCCATGCGGGACTGGCTGAAGTCCGGGCAGATGGTGCAGATCCCCGAGGCCGGGCCATTGCAGTAGCTGTAGCAGCAATCGTTGGGGCCGTAGCTCGACTTCTCCAGCTGCGCCCCTGTTTCGGGAATGTTTTGATCTGCCGGAGGTGGTAGTAAATGTTAGTGGGGTCAGTCCAGTTATATACCCCTCTAGTTGTATACTCACCTAGGCAGAGAAATGTCGGCTCGCCGGCATATTGGGTGGGCAGCGCGGGGGCGCGATCGGCGGGCAGCAGGTAGGGGCACTTTTGTTCCACGGTTTGGCAGACGCTCAGACACGGCCGGATACGGCGGCGCTTACGGAACTCTGTCTTGCGTGTTGATCTAAGGGGTTGATTGGGTAATAAATAACCATTAATTAGATACTATGGACTTATAAGTGAGTAAACAAATATATAATGATTGTTGTCAAATGCCGGTTAATGCATTCTTACTTTCAAAACAATGCTATTAAAGTCGTATTTGATTTTACAATCAAGAATAAATTCCATTTAAAAAACAATCTAGCACAAAGTTTCTTTGAATGGCTGCAATCTATTTTATATATGTTTGTTAATAAAATCAGTTATTATATTTTGAGTAGTATTTTAAATATGCCACTCCGTCTAATTCATTAAGCCTATTTATTTTTAAATACTAATAAAATTGCTTAATTCATTTAACTTTTTGAATTGACTTAAATAGTTTTTTTCACTTTTAATTTTTGGGATTATGGTAACTAAAATACTACAAATTTGCTAAGCTCATTAAATTTATTCCAGTTTACTTTATTATGCTTAATTTCCACTTTTTTATAAGTGATTAGTTAGTTAAAAAATACAACAAAATCATAAAATGCTTGGATTTTTTCTCTTCAGTTTTAAAATACAAAATCCATTATCAACGTACTTTTATAAAATGCTATACAATACATTTTGTTATTTAATTAGTCAGGGATTTGTTTTCCAAAAACATTATAAATTAAAACGATTACTTACCTCTTCTGTAGTTTTGATATCACTGGATCCGTGGCTCTGGGATCCGAATTATTGGCAGTCGATATGAAATTATTGGATTGTTGTTCGGCCTCGGCCTCAGTATCCGTCTCGGTCTCCTTCCCTTTCTCCGTCTCCCTGTCCCTTTCTCTGTCCATCTCCTTGTCCCTTTCGCTGTCCCTCTCCCCGTCCCTCTCCCTCTCCCTGTCGGTATCCGTTTCGACCTCGGAGTCCGCATCGGGTGCTGGTTCGTCGTCCGGCAGGACCTGCTCTCCTCCGTGACGGGGCTTAGACAGGCCAACAACATCGTAGAATGTCTGAGCCAGGTCCCTGCCAATCGCCTCCTCCACGCTGCGGTCAATGTCCTTGTTGGCGCTGGCGTTCGCATTCGCGTTCGCATTCGAGCTCTTGTCATGCTTCTGATTAATCTGACGCTCGTTCATGTTATTGCCGTTATTTGATTTATTGTTATTGCTGATTAATTTCAGAGATTTATGCTTGATTCCGTCCACCCGGTGGTCCGCCATCGCCATCGCCATCGCTGCACTTCTCGCCGAGCGTTTGCTCTTGCCTGTGTTTGCCTGGCCATCGTCCTTTGGCTTCGGCGACACGTCCTTTGGCTCGGCGAAATATGGCACTAGTGTACTGCAGACCCAGCGACGATATGCTTCCTGCAAAACAATCAAATGAAAAGGCTCATCAATTATGCAGGTCCCTGGGCCACATTTAAATTATTTCGATCGAAATGGGCTCGCTTTTGTGTTGTGAAAGTTTAATTGAAATTATTGAGTTACGGCTCAATTAGGGGTTTCCCAGCACATCTATATATAATATCTTATTTATATGCGATGATAGGCTTTCTGGCATTTTAAGGAATTTCATTTTGCTTGCTTAATATGTGTATAATTGTAAATGAAAGCAATATGAATACAAGGAGAGGTATTTTATCTTATATATAAAGTTAACAAGTATTATTTTCTCTGATTCTATTCTACTCTTGTTTGTGAATCATAAATTCATTTTAAGATATTTATAATGAGCATAAAATAAAAGTCTTAAAAACCTGCGAAGAGAATCCTTTTAACATCTTTTTTTATAAGTATACTATAACTAATTTAAAATGCTAAGAGAGGACCGCAATTCATTCACGTTATCTATAGCTTTTATTATTTCATCTATCAAATGTAAAAAAAAACACAATTGAATAGCGACAAGCAAACCTCGATATCCATGTTTTTATAAAAATCTACTGAATCAATTTCATGCTGCTATAAAAGTGCACACAAAGCGTCGTATTTATGTATACTCTGCTTTTACATAAACAGTTATGGAAATTCCTCCATTCGGCTCTGCCAAAATTCAGCTTCGAATGGTTGCCTTTGCCATAGAATGCACACTCCACACATATTAATTTTGAATCTACCCATCCGCCCATCCATCTGTCCATTCACTTTTCTATCTGCTCCACCGACAGCTTTTTCATTTGGCAGCCAATTTGTTGGAAGGTAGGGAAAATATTTTTGCTTATTCTATGCTGCTGTTGATTTTTGCTGTTTGTTGCTGCTGCTGCTCTTGTTGTGATTTTCTATTCTGTCAGAACTATTGCAGTAGTTTTTCGGAATTTCCCGCCCCGCCTTGTCTCTTCATCCGCCCTTCGTTTTTTCGCCCATAACTGTTGGTCAAAGGCAAATACCAAACAAACAACTCTTCGCAGGCCTGCAGAGAAATTTGGTTCAGGTGAAATTTTTGCTATTTGCTAACATTTCTGTGGCTATCAATGTGTCTGCACTGCCATTACATTTTGCCTGCAAGGACGCCAGAGGAATTTCCGTTTTCATTGCTTTCCAGAATTCGTAAGTGAGGGACAAAAGTCATTGGATTTTTGTTCATGCATATACATATACACATATTTTTATTGGTGACTGTGGTGGGCAGGCAAAGGAGCAGAAAATCTGCCCAATATTTATCCACATTCTTGATTGCCCCAAGTTAAAGTGCAACAAAGTGCATTGATTGTCTAAATCAATTATCGAATATCGTGCTTGTGTGCAGAGAACAAAGCACTGCTGGGCAAAGGCCGAATGCAAACACAACACAACACTAATTGAATTAGGCTCTACTCCCCTCATTTTGGCCTTAATGCGACTTGGCTCTAAATATTACCTACTGTTGATAACCGCAAAAGCGTGCACCGCATTCATAAATCACGTATACGCACTGCTGGCCTGCGGCTGCAGTTGGCAAGGCTAATTGTTTGTGTTGGCCGCCGCTGTCACTGCGGGCAATTGTGTTTGAGGTCGGGAAAATCAAAAATTCTAATAAAATTAACTACGGCAACAGCATGTCGCACTATCTGTGATGGCCAGACATTTTTCAAGCGCATAAAACTCCTTATTTTCGTCCAAATCGACAGAGCAGTTCAATCATCTGAGGCAGTATATTCACCCGGATCATCTGATACAGCCAAAACATTGGCGAGCAGTTCATCAAGAACTATACTCATTTTGTTTTGGCCATGAAAGACAACGACCCCATAAACGCAGCGAGTGTCTGACATTAAACCGCAAATACTCTTGTACAAATAAATATGCCCACGAATGTGTACACTGTGAGAAGAACTGCACTAGAAAATAAATATTAGAAATAAATATCTTACTAGAAAATCGTACTAGAAAATAAATATTAGAAATAAATATCTTAAATAATATTAAACATTGCAAAATAATAATTAAGAACGGCTTGTCTCAACTTTATATTCAATTGTGAGGAAAAGGTTTTTATGAATGAGCATTTTGCTTAAGAAAATTAATTTATGAGTTAATATGTACCCTATTTAATTTTCTCTGTACCACATAAATGGCTAAAGCTCAGGGTGGCTGTTGCTGTGGTAACTTTGGGGGCTTTTTGGCCTGCGTAGGCGGGCCCCGTCATCACATCTCCCATCACCCATCCTTCCCCCACTTGCTAAATTATTATTTAATTACAAAAAAGTATTCCCCATTAATAGGACACCGTCGTGTAGTGTTCTTCGCCGCGAAAGCAGCCATGCAGCCGACTTGTGTGGCACGTGGCGGATAACTTGAGCCCGACCTGTCCCATCTGGTGTACATATCGTATGTGCGCCTGCACTCTGCACTAAATGAATTCCGACGCCAAAATAAAAAGTCTCAAACGGCGAACTCAATTAGAGGGTCCACAGGTGCAAAGTTAATTGGAGACTGTGCAGCTAAAATCCACACACAACTTTCACACGAAGGAGCTGCAAAAATCAATCCGAGCTGAAGAAGTGGATTTAAACTCATCCCCGGCAGCTCGAGGGGAATCCATTTAAGCTTGCCTTCATTTAAATGCGGGGCGCAAAAGTCATTCCGCACGCAAAATCCCGATTTTCGTCCTTTTCGGCCATTACGCCGACATGACACCATCAGCATCAGCATCAGCATCGGCATCAGCAGGGCCATGCAGGCAGCCTGCAGCAAAAAGGACGAAAGGACGAAGGATGGGGCTGCGACACACATGCGGGCAGTAAATAAGCCGGAGTTATGCCTGCCCATCGATGTGTGACCTTCGCGCCCCGTCCTCCTCGTCCTTCCCGCTTCCTGTCACCCGGATTGGCCGGATGTAAGTGGGCATATAGGATGCGGCGCAGAGGGATCACAATTGTGGCTTAAAATTTTCGAAACCCAATATGCGATAATGAGTCCGATGAGCTGGGGCTTAATTGGAAATTCAGATTAGGCTATGAAATTCTAATTTCATATATAGCATATATTTGCGCCAGTGAGTTTAGCCAGAGTTTTTGCCCTGTTTTACAACCGACCATATCAATAAGAATAACGTTTATGTCCGTGCCCCGAAAAAAAATAGTGAAACTTTTCTCGCTCCCTCGTAAACATTAATGGCTAGCCCAAGGGTTAAGGGGTCACAGGACATTGAGAAGCGACAACAAAGGAAAGGAGAGGGCAACCTTTGCCACTGACCATCAGTCAGTCAATGACCGTTTCATATGGCAAATAATTGAATTTTTGTTCGTCTTTTTCAAAAAGAATGAAGGCAAGAAAATTCTTTTTATATTTGCCAAACGGAGCAGACATTGCGTGTGGGTTGATTTACGAGTTTTCAAATGGCTGCCGTTGCCATTGCCATTGCCGTAGTCGGGTTTTACTATCATAATTTCATAAGCCGTTGAACCAAAGAAATAACGCAAACATTGCCCAGGCGCATGAGTAATAAAAAAAGGAATAAATATATAAATAAACCACAGGGCTCAACCCAAACAACATGGCGAAAATTATACGATTTTGTATAATGACGAATTGGCTGGCCACGACTGAGTAAATTGCTTTTATGTTTGTTGCTTACAAGTTTATTTAAGTTTATATTATAACAGTTTTATATTTTTTAACAATTTTAATAAGAAATATTTATCAAGATTTTATTTTAAAATCGCCCTGCTGCTTTCATATTTTTTGTGAACTATTATTTTATAAAATCAGTCTAACAGATATTTATTATTTTCTCTCACTTAAAAACAAAGTTATTTTATAAGAAATTGTTTTCACTGCAAATTGTGCAGGTATAAATCAAAAAAAACTTTATTATTAGCATTCCCTTTTTTCGATTAAAAGAATACATTATAGATTTTGTCCCATGAGCTTCAAACCTGTTTGTTTATCGCTTTCATTATTTTTGTTTCGATTAAATAAACCTTGTTATTTTCGTTGGTCAATAAAGCTCAATTATGGTCATTGAAAAAACAAAAACTATTGAATGAGGGAAACCTCTTTACGATGACCAGCGAAATGGGAACAACTTTGTTTGTCCTTGCATATTGTTTGCGTTATCGATTCCCCACCACTCGCCCCAAGTCAATCCACAATTCGATTGGCCCGGTTGAGTGTATCAAAGTTTATGCTCCTGCATTGGCCTTCAAATTCATTCGCAAACTGGCTGAGACATAAATATTTTATGGCTTTCTAAGCGCACTCGTTCTACCGCTAGTGTGAGCGAAAAATCCCCAACTTCAGCATGAATTTAATACACTTTCATGAGGGTCCTGGCTGCCTGAATGCCAGGATGCCTGGCTGTTGTGGTCGAGGTCCTGGTCAGTGTGTTATGGAAACGTGACTGAATTTGGCAAAGATTTGCGCAGCACACAAAATGCCCTGGCCAGGACTATGTAATGTAATTGATATGGCGCACACACACACATCTTCGTATATACATATACACCAGCCTACAGATTGTAGGACCTTCACACATACAGCGGCTAGGCATTCCTCGTATGTATGCAAATAAGTTATGATTTGATTTGTACCATTGCAGTAAATTTATGAGTAGTAAGAGCCGGGCATTACAGCTGGCTCGACTCTTTCGGCTTTCGGCTTTTGCTTTGGTTCGGGACCCATTCCGATTTCGATTTCCATTGCCATGTTGTTGCCAATTTGCATAATGGCTCACGAAACGATGCGTGTGTGTGTATGTATGTGTGGCATGGGTATGCATATGCGCTTGTGTGCGAATTGCGGCCCACATAAGTGAGCTACAGATTTTTATATGTGCAAAATTTAAAACACATTTATTAAAATTCACTCCATAAATAACAATCAACAATGATTTCTACAGCCATTAAATGCAAATTCAAATTTTCCCTGGTTATTGTTTCTGCAGA